GTCGCTTGTCTCTTCACTTCGATCACTTCACAGTCCTACTTCGTGTAGCCTCATTCACTCGAAACAATCATCATGCGTTTCCAATCCATCATCGCCATCGCGCTCCCTGCGCTCGTCCTTGCGGCTCCTACTCCTCAAGACCCCGAGTACGAGTTCCCCGAGGATGCTCCCGTTGACGACATTGTCGGTGGAACTGCCGCTGCCTCTGGCGACTTCCCCTTTATTGTCAGCCTTCAGAAGAACGGACAGCATCTCTGCGGTGGTTCTCTCTTGGACGCTACCACTGTCGTCACTGCTGCTCACTGCTCCGTGAGCTCAGTCATCGGCTCCGTCAGCACCCTCAAGATCCGCGCTGGTAGCCTTCAAAAGGCATCCGGAGGTACATTGGTTGGCGTCTCATCCGTCACCGTCCACCCCAACTACCGCAGCTCGGGTCAGGACTGGGATGTCGCCATCTGGAAGCTTTCCACTTCTGTCGCTGCCAGCGGCTCCATCGGCTACGCTCGCCTTCCTGCTGCTGGCTCCGACCCCGCTGCTGGATCCAACGCCGTCGTTGCCGGCTGGGGCGCTCTCACTGAGGGTGGCAGCAGCCCTGCTGCTCTCCAGAAGGTCACCGTCCCCATCGTTTCCCGCGCCAGCTGCCGCTCCTCCTACGGAACCTCTGCCATCACCACCAACATGATCTGCGCTGGTTTCCCCCAGGGTGGAAAGGACTCCTGCCAGGGTGACTCTGGCGGCCCCATCGTCGACTCCTCCAAGACCCTCATTGGTCTCGTCTCCTTCGGCAACGGTTGCGCTCAGGAGGGCTTCCCCGGTGTCTACGCTCGCACCTCTGCTCTCCTCTCCTTCATCAACTCTGTTTAAGCGCTTGCTGAACGGATTTGTGCTCGCGACCGAATCATGATGATGGATGGGTATGGCTCTTCAGCGAAGAGTTGGATGATTGTGAACGACGATGATATACCAAGTGGTCAGAGGTTTCATGAAGCCTCTTGCAAAACCATGTTTTGATACGCCTTTTTTGTATATATCCATTAGCTACGAAATGCATTCAATAACTTCAAACATTACGCTCAAATCCACTGTAACATGCTTGTGACATCATTTTCGCATCAGCCGATACCAGCTATCAAGATTTTGTCAACACCATGTATCCTTTTTTTCTGGACCCGAAAATACAATCTATACGAGACCAACGCATGCGAGGCCGCGTGTACTTTCCCAACACTACCTCATGACGTATCTCTCACCGTTTTTGTACCAGCAGTCGGATCCCCTCGAGGCTTTTGGACAAAACGGTGTGGGAAGAACAAAAGCAGTGCCCGTTGAGCGGGATGATGCTTGTAGGGCTGAGAACAGCGACAAGCTTCGCTGTCGCACATTGCTTTTTCTGTCTATCTTTAGATATGTCTTGGCACGTGTGTCAGAATACGGAGAGAACGAACAGACACAGCTGGCGGTGTAAGATAAATTGTTTGTGATCGCGATCGCGCAGTCATGATGCTGGTCTTGGTCGTCTTTTGATCAGGCGTGCGGAAAAGCAAAACATAGGTTGTCAGCATTATGAATTTGATGTAAATTTTCTGGAAGCAGAATGCAGCGGGTACGCATGCCGTAGAACAAGAAATCATGGTTTTGTGAACACTTCGGTATGGACACACCATGTGCGACGGCGTGTGCCTTTTCGATGTAGAACACTGGCTGTCACGATGATGTGAGACCTCTGGACATCTAACCACATCGGCAGGCATGCGGGTACTTTTAGCTTACAGCTCAGGGAAGACATGTTCGGGTTGTAGTTATATTTTCAATCTAGATATCCGGTGCATGAGAATCTCTTTGCAGCGCCTGGATCAAAGCGATCACTTTCTTTCAACATGACGTTGTATCCTAGTTTTTTGGAAAAAGGGAAAGAACTCCATAAATTGTTGAGATAGCTGTTTGGAGTACGTAGCAGACATCAGGGCTTGAAATCCATTTTTTGGTGAATTTGGACCGGTTATTGATGAAGAAGAAGACTTGGAGAGAGCATAAGACAGGCTTTTATATGTCCCGGTCCCAAGACGAGCTTCTAGCTCAATGGCATAACCGTTGCAAGACCGGGGTGCTTGTTGCACATGAAGTGATCGCTAAGGGTTTTGAAGTCAATAGCAACACGCCGTACGAACGCCGGTTTTCCTTTTGCTCGATGACGCGGTCGTCACACATCATACTGATCTCTCCGTGATTCTTGGTGTTTGGTAGTAATTGTAGTTTTGGAAACGCTCTCCATAAAGAAGCCACCTGTCGACTTTGGAGAAAGCACACGCCATGTCTTGATACTGATCTTCATTTGGTCCACAGCAGTAGGAAATTTTCTGACGAGAAAAGGGGAACTCAGCGCATAGAGCTGGAGCATTCAACCTTTTAAGTAAAGCAGGAGTTTACTGGACAAGAAATCCAGTTAAAAGCAGAGAACATTTAAGTACTGGCAGTAGTTTTATCGGCGACGGCCTCCCATGCATATCTTGTCTTTCGTTTTTTGATAATCGTATTGGACACAGCAGTCGAATCAGCCGCACATACGAAGTGCTTCCTTGGTTTTTGGAAAGGCAGGAAGCGGACATAGCCATGATATCTTCAAATTTTGGACTAGACCCAGGGAGTATGGACGATAGGGGCGTGGCTTTCCATCTGCTGTCGACGTTTATATATCTTGAGCATCATGCCGGAGATGCATGTTGAGGGTCCATATCAAAGGTATAAAATATTGTTTTGAAGACTGTCATCTTTGGCGGTCTGGTCTTTTGGAAACGCATTGCCACATACTGTTCAAGTTTTGAACAAGGACAGTGAATCGAACGCCGGCACCATACATTTTTCTCCTGTTTTTGGAACTCGGAGGGGAGTCACACATCGGACACACGACCTTGTCTTTTTAGAAATGGATATAAGGAATTGAGGAATATAGAAGGATCGTAGGTGAGCACTGACTGGAGATTTATATAGATGGACCGGCCAAGCGGAAACGTGACATGCATACATGAGTGACTATTTTCAAAAACACATGACGATAATCCCATGGTAATCGCGAAAGGTTCAAAAGAGGTACACATTGAGCTATGTGATTAATGAGATTCTGTAATGGAAGAGCGCCTTGTTGGTCGCTCATCTTGGGTATTGTAGATAGTAGAATATACATGAACTGAACGAACTCACATCTCACCATCGTACACGCACTTCTTCATTCTGATCTTCGTGTCTCACATGCACCCCCACTGAGTCGTACTTCTTTAGTACCTCCCGCTCTCCCTTCGTCCGACACCAAGGCTTCCATACGGGTTGCTTCTGCCCAAGCTCGCCGACTGACCCAGTGTCTTCTCACCGCTCTCCCTCGCAGCGCCCAAATTGCCGAGACTGATCCTCTTCAGAGGGCTGACATCGCGCTTGCTTGGGCTAGCTCTGCGCTCGAAAGCACCGCCGAGGCTATCCCTGCCGCGGCTTGCACTCCTCTCGCCATCTCTTGAGAAGTTGGCACTTGCGGACTTCCGTAAAGGAGACGCGGCATGAGTGTTGATCCCCAGATATCCGCCGTCGGTAGGCTTGGTGTTGGTTCGGGGGATGGTGGGTGCTTGACGGAAGGGATTGGGCGTTTGCGAGGGTCGTATGGGAGAGGAGAAGTCGGCGTCTGTAGCTGTGGAGGTGGTTGTGTATTGTGAGGTGCCACGATCTTGGTGGACTGAGGATCGTCGTCTCGAGGAGCGCGTGACAGATGGTGATTCCATGTTGTCAGGGTCGTACTGTGAGGCGTAGTTGACGTTCGGGTTTGTGCGGAAGGTTTTGCGGTTCACGATAGTAGTCGGTGTGTATGTGACGATTGAGCTCGCAAGACCGTGGCTACTGCCCTTGACACCGACGCTCGAGTCTCGGGTTCGGTTTGTCGAGATGGTCTGTATTCCGACGTCGCGGCATGGTTTCTGCAGTGAGGGGTGGACGAATTTGCTATCGTACTCGTGAAGCACCTGGCGACTGATGAGAGAGTTGTCCTTGGCCTGCTGCATAAAGGAGCTCCTAAGCCACCAAAGATGCAACGAGAGCGCGGCTCCGATGAAGATTGTCGTGGTCACCCTGACGCTCGGTCTGGGATCTAAGGGAGCGACTGGGAGGTTGAAGTAGTAGAGCACCACATGCAACGGGCTGAACAAGCAGAACAGCTCCAGGCATAGCGGATTTGGGTCCCAAACGGCGACTTCCCAGACATCTCTGCCCTCGACGGGATGTGCTCTACTCGCCGCGTTGTTCTGTACCAAGCCCCTCACGAACTGCATCGGACTCGCTGCGGCAGGCGATGAGTCGACTCGGACGCGCTTCGCGCTGGGCGTCTGTGGCGCAACGTCCACACTCTGCTCGAAGAGGCGGTAATACCTCCTCTTACCCCAGACCATGAACGCGTTGCCAAAACTGGCTGCACCGAGGGCCAACACCAGCAATCCCATAATCCACTTTATCCATCCGGGACCCTCCACCTCGTTGAAGACGCCATCGTCGTCCGAAGCCGTGGATGCGCCGCTGTTGGCCTGGGCGAGGACGAAGAGGAGGTTTGCGCCGAAGCCGATGTAAAGCGCATATGCGGATGCAAAGTCCTCCCAGTCAGAGCTGTTGAGTTCCTCCGAGATCCAGATGAGCCAGTCGGACAGGTCGAAGTAGGCTTTGATGCGTTCCGAGAGCGGTGCGCGGCGCACGAGAGGAGGCATGGCGCCGTGGTATTACGATTATAAGCGCTAAGGGCGAGTCCCAGGTTGTAGAAGAGAGGAGAAGAGAAGTAGCGTAGCAGCAGGGCTCAAGTCATGGTTGTGCGGCGACAATGAAGAAAGCGCGAAGGGTGAAAGAAGCGACAGTACAAACAGTTGGCCTAACGCGGACTAGGCCCTGGTCCCGCCCATGACGACGGCGCGCGGGAGCTCCAGCTTCAGTGCAGCCAAGCTCCGACCTCACGACAGCTGCCTCTCTACATACTCACTATGGCAGCACCCGCGGCACAGTACAAGGACAGGCAGTTCCTCGCTGTGATAGGCGATGAGGTGTGCATCTCGCGGCTTCCTCGTTTGGCGGGTCAAAGGCGCTAACTGGTCCCAGGACACTTGCACGGGCATGCTGCTTGCAGGCGTAGGCGTGAGTTATTACTTACGGCAACACGCGACATAGACAGGAGGCTGACGAATATCGTAGCATGTCACTCAGCCACCGGACAGCCAGAAGAACTTCCTCGTTGTAGACGCAAAGACCGAGACCGCGACCATCGAAGCTGCATTCGACCGCTTCACCAGCGAGCGCAAGGATATCGCGATCCTGCTCATCAACCAGCACGTACGTCTTATGCGCCCCGGATGTGGCGTTGGGATCTAGAAGGATGCCAGAGCTTCTGCGGACTTGGAGACTGAGACATGTCTAACCACCCATAGATCGCCGAGAAGATACGACACCGAGTCGAGACATACACCGCTGCCTTTCCCTCCCTCCTCGAGATCCCATCGAAAGACCACCCATACGACCCCGAGAAGGACAGTGTGTTGAAGAGGGTGAGGAGGTTATTCGGAGAGTAGACATCGGATGTAGCAGACTGGCGGAACATGGCAGCCCCGGCATATGTCGCATACACTACTCGTGGATGGGTACCAGGCATATGCCGTCAGCAGTTATTTGTGCATACAAGCTACGACGTCAATAAATATGATATCCACCAAAACGCATACAAGTCGGAGAAGGAAGCCATGAAGTGTATCCGTGTCCATCGTACCTACATTATCCGTGATTATGTTCTTAATCCACATGCCATATCAAACTTGAATTAGCATTGTCACTGCGAGGTACCGGCAGTACACGAGTTCATCGACAAGCAGATGAACTTGTGTACTGTCGGTACCTCGTAATACCAATGTGAGTTTGAACTTGACGTGTGAATCATACTTGGAGCCATGGTTGGAAAACATTGAAACCAAAGCTTACAGTCGAAACATGCTGATATCGCGAGTCAAAACAAAGAGAAATCCGCCAAAGATGGCTTACAGCTCATTCCTCCGCCTTAAACGCTCCTGTACCAGACCAGCCAAAGGCCCACTCATCTGAACCCTAGGTTGTCCCATCTTAATCTTGCTGCCACTGCCTACATTACTTTCCTCCGCGTTTCCCCTGCATCATTGAATATCAGACATCCTCGTTGCTCATCGCGTGTTGTAGAGTCGTTACGAAGTGAGGCAATTTACCGGTGGAAAGCGATCTTGGCGGTGAGGCAAGTAATCTTGTCGCCCTCTGCGGTGAAGACGTCGGCGAGGACGGTGTATGTGCCCTGTAGCGCTGTTAGTACTCTTCTATGTTCGTTGCAGCTTGAAACGTACCGGAGGAATCTCCCTGGGCAGATCAACGTCTTTGGTCAAGCTCATCTCGCCCTTCTCGAGCGGGCACTCGAGGTCTCCCTTCTTTATCGTTTCGCAGCCATCCGCGTTCTGGTTGATGAGTGTGATGAGGCCGTACTTGACTTGCAGGTGCATCTTGAAACCCTCGCCGACCTCCTCCTTGAAGTCGCCTGTGGCCTTGATGCTGAGCTTCTCGCCACTGTGTACAAGTTAGCTTCAGTCTTTACACTCTATAGATGCGCGAAGCTTTCGAGCATGCGATTGCGCAGCTTCACGATGCTTCAACAAGGAACACGTACGGCTTAGGTGGGTTGGGGCTCAGATCGACCTTCTCAATCTTCAGAAGATCGTCGGCTGGGTCGCCGCAGAAGTACAGAGGGTTGTCGCCTGGGACCTTGTACTCCTCCTTAATCGTGACCTGGTCGCCACCCATCCATGAGGGTGATGCGGTGACAGAGACAGCGCTCAGCGCGGCGAGGAAGAGGGTGGTGAGCTGCATGGCGGCGGTGAAGACAGCGGCGGTACAAGAGACGAGCTGTGGAGATGTTGTTGTCGCGCGATAAACACGACGGGAACAACTTCAAGGTGGATTCGAAGTTGGGGAAGGATGGTTGGGGTTGCTGTGAAGAATGGAGAGCTCTGGTAGTGGTCGAGGCTGGCGTCTAGATAGCGGCCGCGGTTGGATCTTGCTGAGGCTGGGGCTGGGGCGAAGCATGGACCCTGCAGCCAACGTCATCGCTGTTGGTCACGCAGCACGCGTGGGCCTTCCGCTAGCACCATCTAGGCTTGACATATACACATGTACTGCACGTTGTGCCGTCGTACATTTCAATTGTGGAGATACAGCAGTCGAGCGCAATAATAACGGCCTTCTGAACAGCTTGCAACTAATCAACGAGCGACTGCGTTGAGCGAGTTCTGGAAACCTGAAACCCGACTTCAGTATACCCACTTGCTATTTACTCATGATGGAGGTACGTCTGGTGATGGTACGTATCTGAAATCGATTCAGATTCATGACAGCATCCCGACATTCTAGGCGGTGCCTGCGCGCTTAGAGTATCTTCGCGCAGCATCCAAAAACAGACGGTCCAGCTCAGCCGCAGCAGTTTTATTGCTGACCTTCAGTTTCAGAGTCCGCCGTCCATGCGAGACTCCGTCATTTATCCATTCGTTCATACCATCTTCAGGGTTGATCTTATTATAGCCACGGTCCTCTGCAACATCGAACATGTCCCCAAGACCATTCGCAGCATACATGATAGTCTACATATGGGCGCAAGAAGTCAGCGTATGCCTCGCAAGCAATTCGTAAAAGGACACTCACAAGTGGATCCCAACTAGGTAGCGGCTTCCCGAAACCATAGTAGATGTAAGCCATTCGGACTGGGTCGTCCTCCAGATCACTCGCCATGAGCGGTCCGCCTACCAGTACATCTCTGCCGACAGTAGTGCCTACAAACGTTATTGGACCGACCCATGTGTCTAACACATGAGCGGCAAGGGCGGGCTTGGAGCCCCAGAAGTTCCAGCTACGACCTTTCGGATACTTGCCACCCATGACGACGAGCTCTGCCACTTTAGTCCTGGCAAGCTCGCGACCGTCAAGCTGAGAGTACTCATCGGGCTTGGAGTCCAGAAGTCCAGATAACTGTAGGAATTAGCGACCAGCGGTCAATAGACAAGAGCCTCATTCTGAAAACGCACATTATCGAGGAAGCCGATGGAAGCGATCGTCACGCTTCCGTCTTCTGATTCAGAGAGCAGCTTTCTGTACAGGACAACTGGATCCCATGCCTCGTTTGCCTTCCCCCATGGTAGAGTGCCTCCGGACCAGTGGTAGGCCACTTTACTCGTGTACTCGCCGCGTTTGTAGTCCCAGGCATCAAAGAACCTCACGTCGTTCATTGGACGACGAATACCAATGGGTGTCTTCGGGTGTCCATAATGTGCTACAATAGCAGACGCTGCGAGAGCAGAGTACGAACAGGGATGGTTGACGTTGACACCAAGAAGGTTGACATTGGGGAGAGTTGCGCCTAGCAGCAATGCGCCCGCGTCACTAGTACACTAGTAAGCTTCTTGTGATGTGAGAACGGGGCTATGCGTACTCAACATCACTGTGCAAGTCGGTGTCGATGATGAGGTTCTTGCGCGTTGTCATTGCCTGGAATTTAACGGGAAGGGAAGCAATAGTATGCGAAGGTAAATTGAGAGGCCCGCGATATACTGTGAATATTTAGCGTGTCTCTCGTAGGGAATGGAGAGGTGGGAACGTCTGGCCGTCAACCAAGCATGAGGGGTAGCTAGCAGCCTCAGGCCCACCGGTTCTACCAATCATGATTCAGTCCACGAGGCGCAGTCAGATAAACATGGGCGCCTAAGTACCTGGAATGCCTGAAGGTTTGAACAAACAAGTGAGCCAAATACGGTTCTGAGGAGCCAAGTGTGTTGTAGATGTTACATCAATTACCCATTTTCTCTCGCCCATAGTGACGCTAGAAAGGTGCTTGAAGGATTCAGCCTTATAAGAGACGTATTACTGAGGCTTACATAGTCTATATCGGCGGTGGATTGAGATCAAGGCCCTCAACGCTGAGCTTGAAGCTGTCCATCCGCGAATAACTTCCCCCAGAGTCAAAATCGAGTCTGCCGCGCTCACAATCGTCAAAATCGACGTCTGCGACTAACAGCTCATCTTCCTGCTCCCATACTGGTCCAGCAAGCACCTCGCCCAAGGGTGATACTATCATAGAGCCGCCACGGGATACATATTCCTCGCCGTCCCCTGACTGAGGCTGAGAGAAGGGTTGCTGCTTGGGACTAAGCGCATCTTCTGCAGTGGATGATGAGTCAATCGCCGATGAATCGCCCTCAGTCGCCTGTCCCTCTGGTATTGGTATACAGATCTCATGACCCTCTGGCGTTTTCGTGATGGTGCTTCGTCGTCTGCCAGCGACTCCATTACTCTGTTGCGAGAGGCTCCTGCCGACGCCGCTTCTGCTCCCATTGCTCTGTGACTGTGCTTTGCCGGTGATCCATTCTGGGAGGTGTTTCTTCTTGACGCACTGGTTTGCACTTACCACGAAGCATCGGCCTTCGCAGCCTACCGTGCGCATCAGCGACGACCAGGCATCACGCGCATCTGCTGTTGGCGCAAACCACAGATTGACGTTCTGGCTGTACAAGCTTTGCCTCAGCAATGGCATGTAATTCTCCCAGCAGATCGCCGACCCCATACACAGCTTGACACCCTTGATTTCCGTTGTCACGGCCCTCAGTGTGCTCGCACTTCCCATGCCCCATATCAGCCTTTCGCTGCCCGTCGGCATAACTTTCCTCCTCTTCCCCAGTACACCCATCTTTGGATCAACGAACACAACCCCGCAGTATAGCGTGCCACCAGACTTCTCCACAAGTCCCGTAACAACAAAGACCCCCGTCTCCCTTGCTATCCTCTCTAGCTCCTCTCGTGTCCCATCACCCCTATAGTCCTTCCCTCTCGGCAACTCGAGCTTCCGGTCTAGCCAATCTTGCCCAGCGCCGCTCGGTGTGTCGCCCATATCGACAGCATCGTGGAAATAGTGGAGGAACTGCTCGCGACCTTCGGGTGCGCGACCGCCAACCGCAGCGCCAAAAGCGCAAGTACGAGGATATCCACCCAGGTATGCTTCGGGAAATAGGAGGACATCGATGCCTTGGGATGCGGCGCGCTTCGTTGTTGCTTCGAGAGCGGCGAGGGTCTCGGCGGTCGTTGAAAGCGTGCGGGATTGCGCGGATGCGATTTTGAGTGTTTGGGGCATCGTGAGTAGTTGCAAGGAAACGAAACAAGCGGTGATAAATGGTGAAACCAATTTCAAGGGAGAGAACGAAGGAAAGAGACGGCGTATGAGCTTCCGAAGCTTGCCGTCATGGCAGCTGAGCTTCCCGAGCTACCCCGCTCGTACCCCCACCTTGAACGAGCAAAAGAAAGCATCTCCAACATTAAAGGTAGCTTTTGACGCGTCGCAGTGGCAATGGAGATGCGGATACGGCCGAGAGACAAACGATGATCTCAGTGGATGCTTGTGGAGCTGCTAGATGGACGAAGCTTCCACAACTCCACACCACGACGTCACACTCCGATGAACACTAGCAGACTCAGAATTTCTTCTTCCCATGTAGACGGCGCACAGCGTAACAGTCACTTTAAGTTTCTCAATCGAATTCGAAAACACATAAACTATCCAACATGTCGCAGCCCGTGGACGTACCAACCCATCTCAACTCCCTCATCACCTCTTCACATCCCCAACTGCGCGATGCAGTCCTCCCAAAACTTCTCAGCTCAATCCACACAATAGCCGGCCACCTGCGTACATCCCCATCGGTAACCCAAGTCGGAACCGCCAATGCCTTCGGCGACGACCAACTGAACGTGGACGTACTGGCCGAAGAAGCAATCCGCAAAACCATCGATTCATGCCCAGCCATCGTAACAGCATCCAGCGAAGAAGACCCTGTCGAAAAATCATCGAAATCCAACAGCAGCGAAGAACAACGCAAAGAAATCTACACGCTAGCCTTCGACCCGCTAGATGGCTCCTCCATCATCGCACCAAACTGGAGTGTAGGCACGATAATCGGAGTCTGGGAAGGAGCCTCAGCCCTACATCAATCGCCGGACACAAAGCAAATTGCCTCGATACTGGGTGTACTGGGCCCACGCACAACCGCCATTGTCGCCCTCCGTCTACCAGGTACCAAGGGATCATGTTTCGAAGTTGGATACGCAGACGACGGCACCATGCAAGTCATCCGCCCAGATGTGCAATTGACGCAAGCCTCTGAAGTAAAGACGCGGTATTTCGCCCCGGCGAATATGCGCGCAGCAGCTGAGGACCAGAGGTATTTGAACCTGATCAACCGTTTCATCATGCAAAAGTACACACTGCGATACAGCGGCGGCCTCGTGCCGGATGTTGTCCATGCACTGGTCAAAGGTCATGGTGTGTATATTTCTCCGGTTACGGAGCAGAGTAAGGCCAAGCTGAGGCGACTATATGAGCTAGCGCCTATCGCGCTGATCTTGGAGTGTGCTGGAGGTGCGGCGTTGGATTCTGCGACAGGGAAGAGGGTGCTTGAGACAGCAATTGAGGATACGGACGAGAGGGGTGGGTTGATCTGTGGAAACAAGGAGGAGGTTGAGGCTGCTGCGAAGTCTTTACTTCAGTAGGCGCAATGGTTGAGAGATTAATCTATCACGATTGATGCGTCAAGAGATGCATCTAGATGAATGGATAAAGAGGGTCTAATATTAGGAGGCTCTAATGTAATTCGATCCGTACTCGTCGTCCTTCTACCAGTATCCAATATGTAGCCAGTAACAACAAGGGAAGATAAGGGGGTATATGTCATGAGTAACTCATGACGGAAGTATACAACGAGGCATAGCCATCGTGCCATGAATGTGTACGCTTCTCAAATTAGAAGCTGTAATGTCGTAGCGTGCTCAAGGAATGTCTTGAGCCGTTGAATAAGCACAAAGGGAAAGGTATATGGGTCTAGAAAACCAAAAAGTCGACGAAACGATGGTACGGGGCATGGAAGCAGAAATACGAACGGCAAAAGTCCACTCAATAAGCGCGCCCGGCTTCGACGTCCCTCTCGCGACTCCGACCACGAGTTGCTGATGTGCCTCTGCTGCCCGGTCGGAGCGCTGCGCAAACTGTCTTGCAGCCATCCCGCCAACTAGGCTGCGATGACACGGGTAGCGCAGTGAGCTCCTTAGTGCTGTGAAGACTGGCCTGCTCGTAATCATCCCGCTCTTCAACTTTGACATCCAACTTATTGGTTATATGGATGCCTTCCAACGGAACGTCACCGCGAATAGATCCGGCAGTGCACTGTGACCGTTGTGTCGAGTGCTGTGATGCTTTCCCGGTGAAGCCTTGCGATAGTGCGTTTGAAGACGGGCCGGACGCTTGACCGGGGATTCCAGTCTGAGAGTAGCCGGCGCGCGAGGTGTACATGCTGAAGTAGCGACCGAGGAAGACTTTGAGTGAGGGCGCCGAGGCGCACATTACGGCTAGCTGGGCTTCGAGTGTCGTCCAGATCCAGCCAGAATATGCTGCCCAGGTGATGTCGTAGGTGACTAGACCAGAGAGTTAGTTTGGCCAGATGAGGAATTCTAGGAGATAGATCCTTACAGTAGTATAGCTTTGCGGCATAGAACGTTCGCATCATACCGCAGATGCACGTTATCAGACCCACGCCAAAAATTGCACACAGGCCGATCTTTTGGCGTTTGCTAATCTGGAGGTTCCAAATCAAAAGTACTGGTAGTAGACAGATGATGAAATCCTGGAACAGTGAAATCACCGCGCATGCAACAATAAGGGCCCCCTCGTTGCGACACGTCAGTTCATTCTGCAGTCTCCAGGATATGTCGAAGAGGCGGAAGAATCCTATAACCGGTGTACATGTGAAGACAATGGCAATAGTGAAGGCAATTCCGTAGATGATGCAGAAGGCGATGGTGCCGTAGACCCCTGTGGAGCAACGTTAGCTTCTGCGTGGACCAGGCTGGCTTTGGCGAGATCCTTACAGTAGATAAACTGATTCGTCAGACGATCACCGATTCGGCGGTAGAAGCAAAGGATCGAGACTTTGATCAGCGTCGAGGTTAACATGTAGTTAAGTTCGATTGCAAAAGCGATCTCTCTTGTCGTTACTAGAGTTTCTTTGGTCTGGTCCCAGACGTGCCATTGGAAGCCATAGATACGAATACCTGCGTTTGTTAGCAAAGACCACTTCGAAAGGAAGCGATACATACCAAGTACGCTTGATATGGTCAGACCGAATAGCGGCAGCATTGCCATGCTGACAAGTATGTCATCCAGCCCAAAGTTCTTCGATATGACCAGCCTTGCCCACATCCGCGCACAGTATACCAGGAAGGTGATGCCCAAGACGACCATGAGCAGTATTGGGGGTCCCCAACCTCGTTCCTCCGGGTCGACATAATTCGGTTTTGGCCAGCTGAGAAGGACTTCTGGTGGAGGATGTAAACCGCCTGCACGAGCGACGAGGCTGCCGCCATAGGATCCCAGAGTGTTTCCGTCCATATTAGGAAATACCGGCGTAGTAGCAGCAGGCCTAGCTGTCGGGGTGAATGTGACACGAACTGACCATCGCAAACAGAAACGACGCCCGGGACATGAGCCAGATCTATACACACAAGAGTCGGGGGTCCAAGACCAATGACTCCGCTAGTAGTTAGCGGGGTCCATATCTTCCCGCACCTCAAACACTGTGGAGTGATCTACGCCACAGTACGGGTCCCCTAGTCTTGCATGGCGTATATGGACTATTTCGCCGACTGCATCCATTATTAGGCTCTTTCCGTGAGAGCTTCCAAGAAAGTTGCGGTGAACATCGGGGGTACAAGGCGGAGTCATGTGTCGTCAGCTTCACGACATAGACAAATCGCTGTAGTTTTGCGCATAGCCCTGATAAGCGTGGCGTTGTGTAGAAACCCGGGGGCGCGTAACAGTGAACGTAGCTGAAGGCTATACTGGCCCTGCAAACGCCATGCATCGTGGGACGCTGATCTTTGATCACCATGAGGTAGGGAGGTTTGATCGCACACGTGGCATGTGTAACAGGACGTTTGTTGGCGTTGCTTCTGCGGGTGTTTGAAGATCGCGCGACCCGCTGTAGCGGTAAATGATCCACGCGAGCGTATGGAGCTTGAGCTTGCCCAGGTGCGAAGCGACACTTGGGGTAGGATTGCCGATACCACTTGCTAGTAGCCGAGCTAGAATCCTCAATTCTACCCGTGTGCCTGCAGATCTGCGACGTCCCCACAGGAAAACGGCTGGTGGTGGGTTGTGATCAATGACCCTGGGTCATGAATTTTCGTCGAAAACGAGAAGAATCCAAATGTGTTGAGACGTCGATGTCCAAGAATCCATGTACAATCGTGCGCATACTTGCCTTACATCGTCATGGTGATGCATGTCAAGGAAAGCTACTTCTGAACCCAACCTCGAGGCAAGATCCATGGCGATCATGGAGCGGTGCGCAATCATGGAAAGCTTCAACGACAAGACGCCATAGTGTGCGACTGCATTAGGTGAGCTTGTCCCAACTACCGAGGATTTGCAACCGCAGTTCCAGATTAGTATTGAGGTGTCGAACATATGCAGTCGCCCTACGAACGATTCCCGTCACGAGTAAGAGGCGGACCTAGGCTAAGGCTAACGGACGTCTCAATAACGACTTGAGTACCGCTAAACGCGTAAAAGGCCCTACCAAGACCAACGGATGCTTGTCGTTTCACAAATGCTAACCGGGAATTTTGGCATTCTGCGAATAGGGTTGCGCTCGCTGCGGGACTTACCATGTCAAAACTCAATTTCGCGATCGACAGCCACGCGACTGAGGCGTTCGTGATAAGACGTTGTACGCGCAAAGTCGGCGATAGAAGTTTGTAAAGTGTCAATAACCGCTGCAAGGCTCGGGAATATGGATAAACGTGCGTGCTGATGATGAATGAACATGGTAGGTGCTGGAGATTGAGTCTGAGGAATCTATCGAAGAATGCCCAGGTGCTGACATCATCGGCAGCGCACAGACCCCAGCAAGAAAGCTACCTAGGTACACTCTCCAGTCAAACACGTCCTCCCCGCATCCCTTTGACCCCTGTTTGGTTCACATCTCAGGCAGAGTTTTTGATATTCCAGGCAAACTTCGGCTTCCGCTATCGGGATGCCTCTGTCGAATTCCTCTATCGAGATCGGGCTTTGAGCGACGGTTTTCGTTATCAGCCGGCAACGTCTACTCCGAGATGACCTCTTGTCCGAGCTCAGGGACTATTCGAAATACAATTGAAGATCTCTTAACGCTACATCTCTAGGTACTAGAAGATCTGCCGTGCTCACTCACCACGTGGAAAGCCTAGCAAATGCTTCCATGGCCTTTAGTACAGCCTCGGCTGCTTCTGACTGCGGAACAAGATCGACACATGCATCAGCGGACTGTCCCGAATGCGCCACCTCCACAGCATCGTCTGTCATCCCCTTACCGCCTTCCATATCCTCGTTATTGTAATCACCTGGATCTTCGCGCGCAGCTTCTGCCAAAACTGGTTCGCTTCCTGTCGGATCACGATAATCCCACGTCCCAGGCTTCTTTCGATGTATTGCATGCAGCTTGGCAGGCTGTCTACGGCCACCACCCGCACCAGGACGCTTCCGTGGCTTCGTAGTCATCCCGTCTGCAGGCTCATCCTCCACGCCTCCAAACCCGTCCTGTCGCATGAATTGATCGAAAAATTGCATGCGAGGTTCATCAATCTTGAGCACTGCCTTACATGCGCGATAACCCTTCTTCAGCATTGCTGCGACGTACTTGTTGGCGAAGTGTTGTATCCTGTCCTCTTCAACTAGCCCGGTGCTGTCCATTGCGGCGTCATCACCGGAGCCAAGAGTGAGACTGTCGAGAGCTACTTCCGCACGTACTACATCGATCAGGCAAGCCGGGCAGACGAACGGCTGGCCTTGCATCGGTCGCGCACAGGTCACACCACAGCTTGCGGTATACTCTGTTTGGATCCTGTGGCCACACCGTAGGTCATGGAACGTCGATGATGGGTTGCATGGACTGTACATGTCGTGGAAGTGTTGATCACTCTCTTGGATCTGCAGCTCACGCTGTTGCCTTTCGGTTTCAGCTACCTTGTTGTGGAAGGCATTGATGATAGCGCGAGCTTGTGCAGGAGCAGCGTGCATGTTTACCCGAGAATCACCCCGGGCAGCTGAATTGATGCAGTCGGTAGCCAGGCGTGTAGTTTTGATGTCGCATTCGAGCTGGTGCTGAGATTGTCTACGTCAAGAGATGGTTGGTGTTGTGCTTGGGTAGCGGAGGTTGTCGACCCGGAGGGAGAGTCATGTGTTGATAGGGGAACTCCGCGCGTGACAAGATGCGCAATGCCGAGGACGGCTGACTAATACAGGAGCGGAGCCTTGTGTCAATAGCACCGACTCACGGTAAGACACCTGTACAGAAATTTGATGAGAAGTCTTATTTGTGTATCTTCATTCGACTCACAGTAATGTCGAATGGTGGGTAGTGCAGCTCGACCCCTTCCTCATTCTCAATTAGGACAACCTTGCTCACAGGCCATCCATTGCTGTCATGATAGCCGTCGAAGTCGAACCAATCGCACGATGCCAATCCTGGAAAGATCATCCTCCAAACCTGCGCTCCAGGTCCAAATTCATCTGTCTCGCCTACACCCTCCGCCGGCTCCAAGACAACCCCTTCCGGTGTAGAGAAGTAGCGTGGCTGGGCATCCGCGGTCCAAGACAGGCGATCTATTGCTTCGAGCGCGGATGAACCGTTCACCATGAGCGAGCGAATATACAAAATCTGGTCTTGGGTCTCCAAGTTGGCGTACGTTGAGGAGTTCGAGAGCGTGGTGGCGACTTCATCAGCAATGAGTCCAGTGTCTTCACCAGCGCTGTAGAACCCTGCAAATCGTTCCTTTGTTCTTGTACTCAATGCTTCTGCGAAAGCAGGCGCAAGAATAGCATGTACTGTATCTCTGACAGTACTCGTCGAGATACCTGCGTAGTCGGCCAGGCCAGATCCTTGCACGAGCACGATTATGCCGTACCCGAGATTTGGTATGGCGTCAATCCAGCTATGCCAGCCTCCTCCATCGCCGGACTTGCCAAAGATGCTATATGTCTTCATACTGTCTTCCGCCAGACTAGCATTCTCACTTGTCGGTAAGTTCAAGATCTCAATCTCCCAGCCTGGGCCGCTCTGCTGTTTGCCGTCTGCAAGTATGACACTTGGCTTCATAACCTGACGACGCTGGAAGGGCGTGATGAGCGTAGGGTCAGGCGTGAGCCATAGACCGTGCATATACCGGGCGAGATCGTTTGCAGAGCTCCACATGCCGGCCGCTGGATCGTAGCCTTCGCCTACGATCAAATCGACCCAGCTGTCACCGCCCGGTACGGTTATGTCTGGGATAAGATCCTGCGGCACAGTACCAAAGAAGCTATGGGTCATGTTCAATCGCTGAAGAAGTTTCTGCGATGTCAGCTCAGACCAGCTGAGAGACGAGGAAGTGATGTTGTTGTAGTATGTCGCTACAGCAGCTAGCGGTCGATTAGTCTATGTTCTCGTTAGGCGCATGCTATATTCACTCACCACCTAGAATACCCAAGCCTGCATTCGAATCTGTTCGTGTCAGTACGCGTCTCGTTAGCAGGAGGAAGTCGCTTACAAGCTGCCCTCTGTCCTGGTGCAAACATCAGGTTCTTCATCGCTATCCCATCAATCACATCTTGGGCAGTCTCACCCGCCCATGCGGCTCCAATGGTCGGTGTATCTGCTTTTCCGGTACTAAGAATCATGTTGAAACCAGTACTGTAGCTTTCCCTTGGTATGCCCGCAGTATGGCTGGCAAGCATACGCAGTGTGATCTCGCTGCCGCCGTCGTTCCAGTCTCTCTCAGGCAAACCGAAGGAAGGAAGCAGTTGTCGAACGGGCGTGTCGATGGTCAGGAGGGATGATGATGATGAGGAGCTTTGTCTAAGCTGGTTTTCGATGACTAGAGCAGAGGCCATCGCGACGTTTTTCGAACAAGACATCAGGCGGAAGATCGAGTCGCTCGTCACCAGATTTGCGTCTGTTGGGCCCAGATCAGTTTCGTTGAACTTCAATGTTCCGTTGTTGAACACATATGCTGGTTCTGAGCTTGATGCATGGACCTTGTGATTGTTAGGGATGAGTCTCTTATTGAGAATGAACCTGTACGTACAACAGCGAAGCTGAGTCCATCTCGAGTGGTGTTGATGTATAAAGCCGAGAGGTTGCGCTGGACTTGTTCAAATGCTGTGATCACTGCCGGATGTTGGAGCGTCAGCGGGTCAGACAGTATCTTATCGGCGAAGTCGGGAACGCAAGCGCATGCTGCGAAGGAAAGCAGGTTTGCTGCAAATGCGAATGTGATCCTCATTGTGAGGCTGTTGATTTCGAACTCAAATCGCAGAAGCGAATGTAGGATATGCGCGAGAATGTCGGGCTTTGGGGGTACTTGTACATTGCGATACAGAAGTATGTTGTGCACAGGTAGATACCGCTGCAACGGTCCAAGAGTTGCGTATGCGCCGAGATGGCATCAGGGATGCAATAAGCCAATGATGTGTTTGTGTTCCTGCAACTAAAAACACCTGCCTATCGGGGCCGATTTGTTTGCATATAGCTGCAGATGATCCATATTGCTTCTGGTTATACCTTTTCACTTGGGCGACGCTGACCTCAATTACCGTCAACACCCATAGATCGATCACTTGTTACAAAGCAGTGACCCTGAATAGTTGGAGCCTGTCGCAATGCTTACTCCCGAAATGAGGGCGAGAAGGACCGGATGAAACGTCCATGGATGATCTTCGAAGGACGAGGTTTAGGTCAAGAGTGGGGTGACCCCATGTTGGTACTTGCGCCCCACATCAACGCTTATCTCTAAAGTCGACAGCCTTGCGTTTACACCTTTCATTTCTTCCATGATCGTGTTTCCTCGATACCGGCGACTTTCAATTACTAGTATAAGACCTGCTGCGCCCTGTATTCTGTTCATAGCAGCTCCCTTCTACGCCGCTGCGCCTGAGTTGCCTAGGCGGGAAGGGGACGAAATGTTCAAGGATGTCGTAGACACCTAACAACGCCACCAGCTAGAAGGTGCTTGCCAGACGGCACTACGAAGTGGCGACAACAACCGCTCGTGACAAGTCAAGCCGAGGTTTATCGTGTTCCGAACTTGTTTGCTACCAATCAAGCGCACGCAGGTCAAAGGTCTTTACATGTGATCTCCGCACACATTGCTGTTGACATACATGTGTATGGCGACCAACTCGACGCGGTGTGAATGTATCAGATAAAGAGCAAATAGCGACACGATTGTGTCGTTCTGTATGTTTGGTCTATAGCTTTTTTCCGTCACCTTCAAATATTGATTCAATTTCGGACGCCAAGCTCGACTCAATCACTTGATAGGCCATGTAAGATGAATGAAGTGTAATAAAACGTATATTGTTTGTAAGAGCAAAACCGAGAAGGTGAAAATAACGTATTTGGCTTTGCCGCAGCTGGTAAAATAAGACCAACCATTGTATCATTATCGTAGAAAGAACGTATCTCTGGTCAACGCATCGCGCTCTAAGCGCCTTTGTCGCTCGCTCTCCTCTAATCGTTCGAGCCGAGATCTATCGACATCGAGACCTTCCATGTTAGTTGATGGCCTATCGCCAGAGCCTCTCGCGGCGGTAGGTCGATGGTGCTGTTGCCATGGATTTCGGGACGTCAAGACTGGCATTGACGGTCTTGAGGCGAGAAACCGTTCGGGCAACACAGCTTGGTCTTGCTGTCGTCTCTTCACGCGAGCGCCCTCTTCCAGCGAGTCAAGTCTCAGTTGCAGAGACTCTAACTTCTGCCGTGTAGCTTCCGGTTCTAGAGCTTGCGGAGACGGTGCAGGGTCGGGAAGTTTCCTATGAGTGCGACGCCTGAATCGTCCAGGTATTCCAGTGGCTGTGCGGATTTGATCGTGTGGCGGGACAGGATGGACTTTATCTGTGGACTCCTCACCCCGAAAGTATGCTTGTGAAATTTGGCTGTCCAGAGTTTGGGCGCGAATTGGAAGTGCACAAGGAGCTGCGCCGGAGCGTCTAGCCCATTGCGCTGCTCTTGTATCTCCTGTCCTGCTAGCATCAGGCTGGGGTGGAGGAAGTGGAATTCTCTGGTTCTTATCGAGGTTTACGGTGCAAGCCGAAGCGCCGACAGACAGCTCGCCAATGCGTGGTGGTATTGTTGGGTCGTCATCGCATACTCGCTTGGTGCTCTTGCTCTTCAGATCGACTTCCGAAGTAGCCTTCACTTCAGGCTTTGAAGAGCTCCGAATAGAGGATGTGAGGTTTTGACGCAGCCGATCCAGCGTCTGTACCAGGATTGCGCAATTCTGGCACGGAGGTGTATTGTCGAATTGCGGAGTCGATTGTGATGAGAACGCCGGACTGGAAGCGTTGCTCATGTAAACATGCTGGAAGTTCGGATCCATCTCGCCACAGACAGGATTCGGTTGCTTCGCGTTGACCGAGGGGACGGGCGTGGTCGGTACTGGGCTACGCTTATGCTGCCACTGCTGGATCTTTTCTTCCGTGGTCATTGAGCGTGAGAAGTTCGAGAAGAGCGAGGGGCCTGCAAAAGGCGCGAAGTCTGAGTTGCGTTGCTGAACGAAATCTGCGGGAAGGGTTGCCGCTCTGGCGAGTGGCTTCTGTAAGTGTTGTGATGGTGTATGTGTAGAAATGCCGGGTGCGCGTCGCAGAGTTGGCTCAACGGGACCGCTCGGTCTTCGTAGTGGAGTGGAGTCGGAACTCGGCATGTCCACAGCACTTTTCTTTCCGTGCCGGATGACTTCAAGCATTGCGTCGCCTTTTGGAGCTGTAGTCAAGTTCTCGTAACCAGATGAGGTGATGAGGATGTCGTCTTCTATGCGAACACCGCCCACGGGCATGTAGCGCTTCAGTACCTCGGTATTGATGTACTTGGAGTGAACGGGTGATGGGAGATAGAAATGCTGTAGAGCGTATGCGGAAAAGTAGATGCCAGGCTCGACAGTGACAACCATGCCTTCTTCAAGATGGCTGCTCTGGGGATCGCTGGGCGCAAGGCAAGTCTCAGAGTCATATACTGGGACATGGAAATCCTGTGGGTAAAGAGATGGTGCCTGTCAGATTGTTAGCGACTGGTCAATGTTGGTATCGATTGAACTTACCTGCTGGTATACTGGCTTCCCTCTTCTTACACTCATGAGTTGTGCCTGACCCACGTCATGCACTTCAAGGCCTATGTGATGTCCAAGACCATGGGGAAAGAATGCTCTACTTGTACCTGCCTTGTAGATTTCTTCTTTCGTTCCGTGGTGAAGAATTCCCAGTTGCAGTAACCCATCGATTGCGATCTGATGCGCCATGATGTGCAAATCGAGATATCTTACGCCGGGCTCTAGCCTTTTGATACATGTTTCCTGCATACGCTGGACCAGCTTGTAGATGTTCTCGGCTTCTTTGCTTGGCCAAGAAGTAGATAGCGGGAAAGTGCGGGTAATGTCACTTGCATAGAGCTCATACTCGCATCCTGCATCTAAACACATGAGTTGACGACCCGCGAGATCTTCATCGTTCGCGGCATAGTGAAGAGTTCCGGCGTTCGGTCCGGAAGCAGCGATGGGATCGTAGGCCTGTTGCTTCGCTTGCTGCGATATGCACACATCCATGAACAATCCCTCAACCTGTGCCTCGTTCTTGAAGTTCGTGATGTTAGCAAGGATTTCCCGGTGCGCTTGCGAGCTGATGTCGTTCGCTTTCCGAATAAGCTTGATCTCGTGATCATCCTTGATCATGCGACATACGTTCATGGCTGATCGGAGGGCTATCGAATCAATACGAGGCTTCAGATTGTCGCAGCCGGGGAATTGCGACGACTGGTGCAGGACGTAGATGTCAGCCTGCCGGTTACCGATCGCCCATCCCTGCACGGCGTACTCAAGCTCATCTGCGTAGAAAACTTGATCGACATCGTACTTCACGAGTGCCTCTGCTAGGGTGGAGCCACGGCCGTACCAGATAACGCGTTCAGGCTTGATGCGGGGAATGAACAAAGACAGTTCGTCGCGTCGCGTGTCGTACGTCAGATGGCAGTCAGGTTCATTGCATCTTCATACCATCAGCACGGTCCTCATTTACTCCCAGATCAACGCACCCGCTCAAGTAATAGAAATATCGGCGTTGTCGAAAGGGTGCTGGCATGTCGCTATCTTCGTTGTTCCTCGCTGGTTGACCCGGTAGGTAGATCAGGCCTTCATCAACACCCAACTTCTCTTGCACCCTCCGCGCATGTTGTTTTGCTGCGCGACGTTAGCTGATTGCGCGACCCACGCTCCTCTTCCCAGACTTACCGGGATACTTCTCAAACGGAGTCTCAGCCTCGAGGTGCAGCCAGTACTCATTGTCTTCCCATCTCAGGCGCTCAGAGAGACCTTTCGCATCGAGAACTTCCATCGTGTTACCTCGTAATGCCTCGGGGAAGAACTGCGATTGCGAAAGGCTTGAGCTCTGATTGAGATGTGACCGGCGTTTTAGTGTTGTCGAGGATCTCACCGGTAAAGCCACCGCATAGTGCACGTGCCAGCTCGACCGCTCCGGTCAGTAAACCGGGAGCTACCATCGTGAATGTTGTCAACACATTCGGCCCCTTACATCTATAAACTGACTGGTGCCGTCGGCGATAGTATCTTTGAGTAGACTGGCATCATGACTGCAGTGCGCCTCCAAACGTGTAGGCCCGACGAAGATGCCCATGTTGCCTTACGACCCCGCGCCTGCGCCTGCTTCCGCTGCCCATCGACTGTGCGACACGAGGCGAGGTCGTGTCAAGCGTCTACCCCAACTCATGTGGACATCTGCAGCATGCTCACTGCATTTGATAGGTGACACGATGAGACGTACACCGATTTCGGGTCAATGCAAGAAAGAGAAAGGAAATCGCAAGGTGTCTGTTGCGAAAATGATGCTGATTGGCTAGAAATGTCTTGACCGGTGAACCGGTCAACACATAGCTAAGAGGCACGTACCCAATATGTCAGACTGAGTAATGTCGCACAGACATCCGACCGGCTTTGGGATCTCGTTTGTTTTAGCTAGCATTTACATCGGATCTGTGCTCTCAGAAAAGATCGCCATTTTGGGGAGGGCGGGGAAGCTGACATCGCTCCATTGCCACCCAAGCAAAGGGCTTTGTGATATTCTTGGAGGATCTCACGTCTTCGTAGAAGCCTACGGGAAGTCCTATAAGCCTCATAGAAAACGACATGTTGTCGCGATGCCCTTGGCATTGCCTTTCCTCTCATCACTTCGCTCATTCAGGGCATCAGGTCATTTGCCATTCACTCTTTTCATAACCTTCAAAGTCTTCACATGAGTTTACTTGGTCATACTCCCCTGTGCAACGGTAGGTTTTCATTCTTACTAGTTAGACTACAAAGCAAAGGGTATCGCGAAAGACTAGAACCAGAACACCCTTCTTTCATAGCCTCCTAGGAGGATCTTAACGCCGTGTAAGCCAAGTAACACCATCCTTTAGTCTCTCGAGGAGGTTGTCGATGTCAACCCCAAACCCAAACCTATCACCACAGTCCACCCTGTAGGCATTCAGCACTGGGTCGCTTCACTAAGCTCCTGTCAATAGCCGCTGAATACCCCGACAGCCATGTTCAGCGGCGCTGAGCTCGGTTCTCGGCAGCCTTGTTGGAGAAGAGAGTAGGGCGAATGGCGGCGAAACGCGCGCCTTGGGAACGGTGCCAGTAGGGACATGAAGTCTTGCGACAAGGCTTGCGCCTCTTCTCGCGAACGCACTGATCGCCGTATATCGGACGCTTGACCTCGGGCTCGCTGGGCTCGCTGAGTTTGGGCGCCTTGACGAAGCCACTGAAGGGGTTGCTATCTTGAGCCATGTTGATGTGGTAGTGGGTAGAGTTCGACTCGATCTTGAGGAAGTTGTTGTTACCGACGCTGTTGGTGTTGGCGCTGCCGGTAAAGCGAATCACTCCCATGTAGAGATCCCGGTAGTGGTCGCGCTCTTCGCGGAGCTTGGTGTTCTCGACAAGGCCAACCTCGATCGCGCCCTTGTATTGATCGCGCTGACGGGTGACGCCATCGAGGCGGAGGGCGAGCTGGGTGTCGGAGGTGTTGGAGAAGATTGGAGCGACATCGCCGTCATCGTCGTCATCGCTGTCCTTGCTGTCATTGTCGTCGTCTTCGCTGTCGTCGTCTTCGTTGTCGTTGTCGCCGTTGTCGTTGTCGTTGTTGTAGTCTTCGTTGTAGTTGTTGTAGTTGTTGTCGTCGTGGTTGTAGTTGTAGTTGTAGTTGTAGTTGTTGTTGTCGTCATCGGTGACCTCTCCCATCTTCTGCTTCTTCCGCAGGCGCTTTTCAAGGACGATGATATGCTCTTGTAGGCCGACGATGATCTGGGCCTCGGTCTTCTTGGGCGGCTCCTTCTTGATCTTTACAGGCGCCATCTTTGAGGTGATCACTTGGAAACAACTGGATGTGGGAATCGAATTGGTTGCCTTGCTGAGGGCGGTGCCTGACTTTATGGTAGGAGTGAATGCCAAGCATCGTGAAAGCCAGGAAAAGGGCTGATTTCGGGTGGCAGGCAGGTCTCGACTGTTTTGCCTCCAAGAACTACGTAATCGGGAGCTTAACTACGGAGTGAAGGACGAGTTACCCAAGTACCCTTGCGTAGTATTGGTCCATTCCGATAACCACACAGTCTGGACGAGCGCGTGATTTGGGTCTAACCTATCTAGGCACGAAGTGAGAGTGAGCACCGGCTGCCTAGCCGCAACCGCAAGCCCCACGGAGGTGACTGACGCCTAGCGCCGCAGGATCTTGGCGCAGCCCTCTGGGTATATAAACTGCTGCTCCCCGCCCACTTTGACTTCTTCTTTTCTCTTCAGTTGCTTCGCAGAACACTACTGCCATGGGAAGGTCTCATGTTCAACTCGCATGTCAGCTAAGCTGGTGCAACCGCCAAGTGGCTGTCAGCTAAGCTGGGTTACTGGAGGTCATACTGTCGCGCCCGATTTACGTACGGGGTCCCACGCGGCAGGGTACGACGACACTCACTAGATGGGTTGGTTGTCAGCAACTTCAAGATCCGCCTCGAGCGCCTTGTCGTCCCAGCCAGGCCGGTCTTCGGTCTGGTATACTGATGATGTCCGCTAAGCGGGTCAACAGGGAAAGATGAGAGGCCACCACAAAGATGAAAGGTGGAATCGCATTCAGTCTGGTCACAGACAGTCTTATCTGACGCAGTGCTTGTCGCTTGCAGATATTGACCTCCGAGGGCTTTGGGATTTGGAGAGAGGACGAGGTGATTCTCGTTCTTCCACGCATTCAACACGCACTGTTCGCAGTGCTGTTTGTGTACCGTGCGCATCAGTGATGCGTGTCTGTGAACGGTATCTTGTCATCTTTTTCATTGAGCTCTGGGCCTTGCGCCTAGACTTGAGGAAGGAGAGTTGTGTGGGCAGATGAGCGACATGTGTCGTATGGGAAGCCAGTACACCACGAAGTTTGAGTACAGATATCATTGCGACATTGTTGAAAAAGCGTGGTTGGCAACATGTAGATGAAAGGCGACTTCATGCAACTATTGCTTAAGAAAGGAAAAGCTTGAATTAGGGAGTATCGATCGTAACATCATGAAAGTACCTAGAGACTCGTCTCACTCATCGCTATCATCTTCATCATCTTCCTCATCGTCCATCTCTTCATCTTCGTCTTCACTATCATCTTCGCTTGCGTCAAGATTCACGGGTACCGTCGCCGGCCAATCCACGGTCACCTCTTCCTGTAATTCCTCCCAAAACTTGCCCATATCTGCTCCGGCGTACTCCATCACCTTCTTCGCTGGGACTGGGATGCTCAAATTGCTGTTTGCATCATCGCTCTTGAAGGTCACATACATGTGGTCTTGTTGCAACATGCCGACTTTAAGATGATTAAGAGCAAGTCGTGGCGTCTTGGACAGCTTGCGGAAGAAGTCGCGCCAGAAGTTGGGCTTGTGTCCGTGAGGTGGAGCGACTGCAGCGGGGATGTTCATCCTCCATAGGCTCAGATCTTCCAGAGTCGGCGCGAACTTGGAGATAAAGTTGAACAGAATATCAGCCCGAGCGCTTAGCTGACCAAGCTCGAGGTTCTTTAAGAGCGGTAGAGCAACTGGGGCAGGGTCAAGAAAAGTCGCGTTATTTGAGCTGGCGGTGGGTTTCGGAGTAGCTAACCACTGCAGAAAGTCCTCGTTGTTGGCCACCAAATGTTTCTCAAAGTTCAGGCGAAGATGAACGAGATTGGGAGTGAAATGGAGGAAGCGTCGAAGCGAGCGTCCCGCGTTTGGATCGACGGACGTTCCGTTACTATGGGTGTGCAGGTAACGAGGCTTGAGGTCCACGTTCAAGAGTAACGTGCTTGTGTTCTGCAGTATGGGCTCCACTGTAGGTCGGATGTAGTCTGGAAGGAAGAATGCCGTGTCGGGTAGGCCACGCTGACGAAGCAACACCTCGAACTCTGTAGGTCGTCGGTTAGCCTTGCCTAAAGCGTACAACACGCTGGAGAAGACGCGAGACGTGAAACGAGTGCCGACATCCTGTCCGAAGGAATCGCGATCGGCGAACCGTAGCTCAATACCGGTTTCGCGATGGATGGTAGTTGCGCCCCAGGAGCTCCAGCTCTTGCCGTCACGAACTCGATTGCCTGCGTTGAAGTCGCGGATCCCGACGGTGGTGAGGTTCTCGAGACGCTCGAAAGCTTCCGTAAGCATCTCGCGGTCGATCCCAGTACCTAAAAGCGCTTTCTGGTCCTCGTAGCCCTGAATATAGCGCGTAGCGGCGTCATCGTCCCTGAAGCGTAGTGGTATCTCGCTGTAGACATTGGTGGCAATGATGATGTGTACCAGCTTCTTGGAAAGACCGGCATGCTTGGATATGTCGATGAGCGCCTGCAGGCTCTTGTGCGTGAGCATGAACTGCTTCTTGAAGAAGAACTCTTTGGAAAACCATTCATATAGCGACTTCTCGGTTTGTTTGCATACAAGACGCAGTGAACCAAGATCTTCAGTAGGGAGGTATTCTGATACCGCGACCAGCAATTCCAGCGGTATGGTGAGTAGTGATGTCATTTTGACAGGAAGCGACGTTGATGAGTGAAGTTTGCTGTCGTGATGATGCGGGTGCTTGTGGCACGACTTATCATGTGTGCACGCGTTCCGTTCGCGAAGGCAGAAACGCGGGCTAGTCCGCTTTGGGCGCTGATGCCTAAGGGCGTTCCTTCCGAACACAGGCCACCGTCTCATCGGCCACCTGGTTCCGTCTCAACCAAATGTTCAAATAGCCATTCTGCGCCCCCAATCCAGCTGCATCGCGTCTTCCAAGGTTCATCGAAGTCAATCGCATCAAGCGCATCAATCGCATCAATGGTACTCACTGGATTGTCCATCGCGGCATCTGGCCGCTTCCCGAGTGGAGTAACCCAGAAAGCGCTACAGACGCGTATAACGTCACTCGGCGCCGAGTACCTGTCGAGCGTCACACCGGATACAACCCATCTCATCGCAACGCAAAAAGACTTCGAGAGCAATTCCACCAAGGTCAAGACTGCTGTTGCTCAGAACGTGTCGATCGTTAGCCTCGAATGGCTCGACGAGTGCGAGGCGACAGGTAAGTCCACAACATTCCGACGCACTCAGAACCGCAACATGCTTCTCAAATCTTAACGAAGAACTTCAAATTGACGGTTGGAGCAGATTCCTATGTTCCTGAGTCGCAATATGTGTTGTCTTCTGCGGCGGCGCCAGCTCCTGCCTCTGCTCCTGCCCCTGTCCAAAACGGGTCAAAGAAGCGCGCGGCGTCATCTGCATCACCACCAACTGCACAACAGGAGACCAAGAAGCCCAAGATCAAAGAGAATGCCAAAGTTGGAGATGGACAAAATGCCAAGTCCAAGCAGATTGCCATCTCCGTAGACGAGCATTGCCCTCTGGCTAGCTGGCGCGTCTACATTGACAACAACGACGGCACGATCTACGACGCGTCGCTCAACCAAACAAACTCGTCTGCAAACAACAGTGAGTTGCGGCAGTCACTCACAGATTTTGAACGTGTATGCTGACTACCTTAGACAAGTTCTACAAAGTCCAGCTTCTCACCGATGGCTCCAGCTACCGAACGTGGACACGCTGGGGGCGAGTCGGCGACCGTGGCCAGATGAAGATGCTTGGCGATGGAGGCCTCAGTAATGCCATGCAGGAGTTTGAGAAGAAGTTCAAGGACAAGTCTGGCCTCAAGTGGGCGAACCGCGGTGACGAGCCGAAGGCTGGCAAATACGCCTACGTAGAGCGCTCCTACAACCCTGACTCGGACGACGATGACGACGGCGATGCCGATGCTGGTGCTGATGCCAACGAGACCAATGGCGTTACGCCTGACAGCACCTTGTCTCCTCCAGTCCAGGATCTTATGAAGCTCATCTTCAACCAGGTAAGAATCCAGTGTCTTTGGAGTACCCGGGAGGCTACAATCCGCGTCGCATTCAGAAGAAAAAATACATTTATCAGGGGGCCTGGCGACGACAATGTCTTAGGACGTGTTCATCTGTTGACTTTTAGCGCTGCGTATGCTGCAACACGAATTCCAGGCTAACATTTCAATCAGGATTACTTCAATCAAACCATGACTGCACTGAACTACGACGCCAACAAACTCCCACTAGGCAAGCTCAGTAAAGGCACCATCGCTCGCGGTTTCCAAACTTTGAAGGATTTGTCCGTGCTTATCGACGAGAACGACAACGATTCAAGGGCGGAGGTTGAACGTCTGTCGAACCAGTACTTCTCACTCATCCCACACGCCTTCGGTCGCAATCGCCCGCCGGTCATTCGAGACATCACACTCCTTAAGAAGGAGATTGAGCTACTTGAGAGGTAAGTCATGCTGTACAACGTGCATGTGAGGCGTATGCTGACTTCGTATTCCACTTTAGTCTGTCAGACATGAAGGAGACCGCGGCCATGCTCAAGGACCAATTGAAGGACAAGAGCGATGTGAACAAGCTCGACAAACAATTCCAGGGACTTGGAATGAACGAGATGACTCCTCTTCAACATAAGAGTCGCGAATTCGTGGAGATCGATGAGTATCTCAACAACTCGAAGGGCAAGACACATCATGTCAGCTACAAAGTTCAAGACATTTTCCGCATCGAGCGTCAAGGAGAGTTCGACCGTTTCGACAAGAGCAAGTATGCGAAGATCGCGAGCAATCGCCGCTTGCTTTGGCACGGATCCCGAGTCACCAACTATGGTGGTATCTTGGGTCAAGGTCTCAGAATCGCTCCACCGGAAGCCCCTGTCAGCGGATACATGTTTGGCAAAGGTATCTATCTCGCCGATATGTCTTCAAAATCCGCCAACTACTGCGCTTCGTACAATTCTGGAGGCACTGCCCTGCTTCTTCTCTGTGAAGCTGAGCTCGGCAACCCAATGCACGAGCTTACCGACGCGTCGTACACTGCTGGGGAGGACGCCGCCAAGAAAGGCCTACACAGCACATTCGGTATGGGACAGACTGGCCCGAGAAAGTGGAAAGACGCGGGTTGCGTGAACCCAGCCCTAAAGGGCTGCATGATGGTAAGCAAGCTCGCATTCCCATATCTAGTTTCACAGCTAACCATACTAGCCCGATGTATCGACACCACCCGGTGCTACCAACGTGCCCAACGCGTACTTGCAGTACAACGAGTACATTGCCTATGACGTCGCTCAGGTCAAGCTCCGCTACCTGCTCCGAGTTCAGATGTAGATTCCTCGCGCTATCATCTCTCAAATCGGCGTTGAGGCGTTCCCAGCGGGCTTCACAAGGAAAATTTCAAGGCAGGCGTCTACATGGTCTTAGGGATTAGGTTGTTGTCAAGATAAAATGCTGTGTATGCAGCAAAGCCCGCGTCATGGGCTTTGCGTAGGCCTACACTGTTCTCATATTTTTGTCTTTAGTTGCGCACAACGTCATTTCGTGATGAGCCCAGTCTGTCAAAAAGCATGGTATATTCGTCGTTAATCAGATACAAGCATCGCGAAAGGTCCCTATACACATCGGTAACATGGTAAACTCCAGGCCAGTACAGAAGCAAGCGAATCTACTCGCGTCCACCGACCCTCCTCTCGTAGTCGTCTTCAAGCCTAGAGGCATCCACCACCTCGACGCCCTTGCCCAGCCCGATCATGTCATTGCGAACCTGCCACCACCTAACAGTGTGCTCGCTCTCCTTGCCCTTGCGCATGGGGCCCTCGTCGTCCGTGTCAACGAGCCCGCCAAGGCCAGTGCCATCACCGCCAACAACGACAATGGTCTGGCCAACCCACTTCCTAATGTCGTCGATGTTCTGACCGTTCACGCCGCTCAATGCGTCGACTACGTAGACAAGCTCTGGTCCGAGATGCCTGAGCATGTGCACGAAGCCAGTCGTGGTGTTGAAAGGCATGACCATGGCTGGGTCCTCGACGAGGCGGAGGGCCTGCGAGTGGAGTGTGTTCCACAGCGAGTTGTCAGAGCCCCGAGTGCTAGGTGCGGGTGTATAGATGACGGGTTCAACGGACGACAGCTCCTCGCCTGGTGTGCGTGCAGGTGTGCTGATAGCAGAGTATGAGTCGCCGAGCGAAGACGAACCAGTGCGAGAGTTGGCGCGGGATTGTGGGCGCGAGCGCAGCGATGGGGAGTAGATGAGGACGAAGAGCTTGGTTCGGGAGAAGTCGGTGTCGGGGAGGTGGGAGAGGATGGTCTGCGAGCTGTTAGTTTTGGGCACGTGAGAAGGCAGACTGGATGCAATGCTTACAGCGTTTTCTTCGCGGTATGAGCCCTCGTCGTCGTCCAACCGGTCCAGGCTCTCAGCGCTGACGACCAAGACTACCGTCTTCCTCCTTCCTCCGTAGCCCTCGCCTCTGCCTTCAGCCTTCCGCACGCTCGCTGCGAAGCTTCGTGCCTGCGCATCGACTGCAGCATTGCTGTCCCGGCTCTGCGCCTCAACATTCCTCCTTATGGTGGCTTCTTCGTTCCATCGAGAGTGGTCGCCAAAAGCTTCGTCCTTGTCTTCCTCGCGGATAGAAGCGAGTGCCGCACCAGCTGCAGCACCCGCCGCGGCCCAGCCCGCAGCTGTCTTCTTGCTCACGGTATCGAAGAGCTGCTGCGGTGATGGTGTGCGACGGATGACGCCTTGTGCGCGGCCGAGCAGCGTGCCATCGCCGTAGCCATAGCCCTCACCGCCCCCTTCCCCTACAGGGAACCCAGAGACATCGCGTGCAGCAGGCGCCCTGCCCTGTCGCTTTTCGTGGGCCGAATCTTCGCCATAGGAGAGATCGTCATCGGACGAGTAGTCGCGGCTGTCCTCGCGCGCACTCCAGACCCAGGCTGCGAGACCGGCGGTTGCGACGGTGACGGTGAGGATCAGAGGAACGTAGAAGCCGAGGGCGCCGCGGTTGCGCGAGTTGTTCTGGCGGCGGTCGTAGCGGTCGTAGTTGAAGGACGACATGGTCGTCAGGTCATGGTATCGTGAAATGTTTCGTGGGCGGGTCGGGCGTTGTTTTGGTCGTCAGCCGCTGCCGCTCGGCTGCTTCCCTGTTGTTGACGGCCGGCACGCCAGGGCGAGTGGCTGGGAGCTGAAGCTTGCTTGCCTGCCTGACACGCGCCGAATGGCTGCGGCGACTGTGCGCGAGTCAGCCGCCCTCGAACTTTTGGCGGCGGGGTGACTCTAACACCCCACACGCCTTTGTACCTGCAGCATCACTCGGCGGATATACGCCATTACCACCTCGCAAGCGAAGCCAAAAGCAGTACCTTCCTATCCGGACCATATCGAGATAGGCCAGTGCTACATCTCTACACTCATATCGCGACACCCACCGCACACACCACGATGCCTCACGCGACGAGTCTGCCCGCGCCGGGCTTCCAGGCCCTCATTCTGTGTGGCCCTGGTGCTTCCTTCAGTACCTTCACATCCACGCCCAAGGAAATACCAAAGGCCCTGCTGCCCATTGCCAACAGGCCTATGGTCTGGTATCCTCTGGAATGGTGTTACCGCATGGGAGTCACGGGTATGCCACTACGCGCATCTGTTCTCTCTATTTGTACTAAGATACTCTAGACATCACAGTCGTGACACCGCCAGAGTCGTTAGAAGCCATCGAGGCGGCCATGTCGCAAAATCCACATCTCACAACCCTCCCTTCGCCGAAGCCAGACATCCTCGCGCCGAAAGACCTCTCACATCAGACGAGTACTGGCGACCTCTTCCGGTTACCTGAGCTACAAAATGCAATCAAGGGCGACTTCATAGTTTTGCCGTGCGATCTCGTATGCGAACTGGACGGCACGGCGCTGGCAGACGCCTGGATGGTAGAACAGGGCGGGTTCGCAGGAGCTAGTGGAGGACTAGATCACAACGGCAGCAAGATTGCTTTCGGTGCTGGCGGAGAGAAGCTCGGAAGAAGAGGCGGCATGGGTGTGTGGTACCAGGCCAAGGGAGAAGGCAGCAGGAAGAAGGAGGAGACAGATTTCATTGCGACAACACCGCTACCTACGTCCATCGTTCCTGTTCCGACAGACTCGCTGCGCCGCAACATCTCGAAACTGGTCTACTCCGTACCCACCGACACGCTGAACGACATCACCGAGGAGAACAAGACATTCCCACTGCGACATTCCCTCATTCGCCAGCACGCGCGGATAAGAATGCTCACGACCCACCGCGATGCACACATCTACTTCTTCCCATACTGGGTCATTGAGATGATCAAGAAGAACGAGAAGTTCGAGAGTATCAGCGAGGAGGTTTTGGGGTGGTGGGCGAAGGCGGGCTGGCAAAACGGTCTGGGAGACAAGTTGGGCCTGCGACAAATACTCCAGGGCGAGGACGAGGAGTCAGACCACGGGTCGCAAGTTGTCGAGGAAGAGATCGATGTATCCAAATTCAGCACCACATACTCAGGCGGTAACACAGAATCCGACTCAAAGGCCCCCACGACACTCGCGTCAAGAGTCACAAAGTCATCCAGTATACCCGAATCCGCGAAATCGCTCACCTCGAATACGAAACTTACGGTACCGCCGATCCTTGCCTACGTCCAACCATCGGGACCAGCCGAACCTCTTATCCGCCGTGTAGACGACTCACATCTTCTGCTTACCGTCTCACTCCGCCTAGCAAAGCTGCAGTCGATTGAAGAAGTCGGCAAAGAAGCAGCATCACCATTCGCCCATCAGTCAAAGATCGTACACAAGGAGTCCATCCCCCGGAAGTGTCGTGTAGAAGCCGAGAACTCACTGCTAGCGGACAACGTCATCGTAGAAGAGAAGACGAACATCAAGGAAAGCGTCATTGGTCCAAACTGCAAGATCAGCGAGGGCGCAAGGTTGCTGCGGTGTCTGTTGATGGACGGAGTCGAAATTGGACCAAACGTACAACTCACAGACTGCATACTGGGCCGGAGATGTAAGATGGAGGGTGGCGATGCTAAAGACGGCGACAAGACTGTTCTCAAGGACTGCGAGGTTCAAGATGGACAGGTTGTGGAGTGGGGTAGTAAGTATCTCTTGACCCGTCTGGGGAAGAAGGCAATGCTAACCGTAATGCAGCCGAGGCGAAGAACGAGAAGTTTATGCGCTTTGATGTCGGCGATGATGTGGGTAGTGAAGGGTTTGGCGGAGACGAGATGGACACATTGAACGATGATGGGGATGAAGGTATCCCGTTGCGGTAATCGTTGGCCCATGAGACGGACGAGGAAACACGCGTTACGACAGTACGAATTAACATGCAACCGAACAAGCCGTGGCTTTTCACCCCCGAAAATAAGAACGATAGTGTGTGTCGTTCCGGGACCTTCTCAGCTCGACTACTCGTCTTGGCCATGGTCATAGGAAACGACGAATCGTTTGCTCATAGGGAAGTCTCGTCGATCTCGTATAAAGTGCAAAATGCGAGAGATCTATAGCCACGACGTTCAGTACCTTGTCACGCTTTGCCCAACTTGCGGTCACCTCAAGGTCCGTTTGCTACCTGGGTAACACAGGAGCTTGGCGTCACGGGTACCCGCGTCGTTCATCTTGCGTTCTTGTTTCGCCCTCAAATCAATATCTCCCATCTAATCAATTTTATTACAGGTCGCATCTGCCTCAGCATCTCTTATTCCCTCTCACTCACCACCCACGTAGCATGTCCTACACCCAAAACGACCCCGATGCGGCTATACCAACAATGCATCTTTGCGACGGCTGCAAGCAGGGAACCACTTCTAGACTGGACTGCGCGAATCTGGAGAAAGTCGTATGCTTCACCTGTCCTCGTCGAGATCACTTCAGCGGCGACTGTGACGACTTGATACGCAAACGCAACCCTCCGTCAAGTGTACCAGCCTTTTGGTCCTCGCTTCCGCTGCGGCGGCTGTTTCCCACTATCAGCACAAGAAGTTCCACAACAGAGTCAACGGATGGGGCGACTCCAACACCATATGAGAGCAAGGAATACACCGAAAGGAAAGAAGTCGAGATACAACTACTAGACTGGCAAGATCGCTGCAACGATGCTTTACGTCTGCTGCGAGCATGTGATCGCAAGGACGCCGCCGATGCTTTGGAACTCCAGCGTCCAGACCTTCGCGGATGGAAAGAACCCTCGGACAAGGAGTACACACATGTACATGAATACGAAAAGGTTGCCAATATATTCAGCGACCAAGTCCTGGTGACCCGGGATTCAAGCCGTAGACTAACACGGAGGAAACAGCACCTTAACGCGACGAAGAAGTATTGCCTTGCCATCTTCCAGAAACTCGAAGCGTTCGACCTTGCGGAAGCAGGTGAGACGCCTTCCACCAAGTTCATAAATGATTGAGACCTGACTGTCTATCACAGCAATGGATCCTCTCACCCGCTGGCACATCGACCCCAAGTCTTCCGCGATCGAGTCGGAAACCCAGAAAATCTTATCCCATATCCCGACCACCGCCCCCAGTACGGCCGGCTCGATGGCCAACTTCGTAGACATAATGCACACGCACATCACCAACCTATACGAAATGCCCGGCGACACCCTCTACTCCCGCTACACAATAGCCTTCAGGATCATCCAAACCGCCGTCCGCTGGAAGTTCACCGGTACGACCTTTACGCAGAACAACATCCACACCACCAGTATTTCACCTGCAGAGATCGCGCGCCTTTTACGGCCGCTGGACACGCAGTTTAAAAGTATACTTGAGGAGGGGTTGATGAGGAAGGGGGGTTTGCCTTGGGATCAGGCGCTGTGTTTTTTGGAGACGCATGGTGTGGAGCGGCTGTATGCGGGCTCTTGGGGGTGGCTGAGGGAGTTGTTTCATTATGAGGATGATGGGTTGGCGCCGTGATGATGGGGGGTGTTGTGGTTATGACGTTGTTACTTTCTTGTCGGTCCGAGCTGAGAGATGGGGCTTGTGTTTAGCTTTCTCGTCATTTCGTACACGTGTTTACTCTGCATGTATACTACTGTTCGCTATATGTTTAGGGGACAGCCACGAAATGTGGGAAGATTGTTGCGTGTGAAGATGGAGATGTGATGACAGCTCAATCTAGATTGCGCTAGCGCCAGGTCCCTTCCCCGTACCTGCACCACGAATCTCACCGCATAGCACGCAATACACGATAGATCTAACGTCGGGTCTCCAATCGGCTTTTAATGTGAGGTGGATCTCAAGCTACATTCGACGATTACAAGGTCAGGTTGTCTACGCTAGGCTGCCCGGCACGACTTACCCAATGCGGACAAATATCACGGAGAGGAGAAGAAGGGGTAGGCAGCAATCAGTGCTCAACGGGGCCAAAGTAGTACTCAGGCGCACCTTGCTCGATGTATATGAAGAACGGTAGTTGTCGCTGAACATTAGATAATTAACTCCAAATCCCCCAACTTCTCCTTCAAACACAACCCACACATCACCAGCCAGTAAGTAGCGACACCACCTTAATCAATTCAGCGTCGACTAGGAAACACATACTTACCATTCTATAGTGTCTCAGAAATACGTACCTCTCACCATCATCAAGGGCGCGGGCCATGAGTACATCCCCATCCCCGAGGGCGAGAGCGCCATCGTCGCAGACTTCCACTCGTAAGTCCACCAAATCACTACACCACAAAACACCAATCTCCCCTTCTCCTCACCCCACCAAGTACCCAGCACCCCCATCTAACGCACCCCAGCATCCGCACCCAAACCACCGACTCCCCCACATACCTGACCTCAGGCTTCTACCGCATCAAAGCGGGCCCCACCCGCAACATCCCCACCTACGACTACGAAGAGACCAAGTACGTTCTCAACGGCCAAATCGACGTATTAGACGAGGCGACCGGCGTCACACACCACCTTGTTGCGGGCGACTTTGCTTTCTTCCACGTTGGCTCTAAGGCGCAGTTTTCGAGCAAATCGGGTGGAACGGCTTTCTTTGCGGTTACTAGGCCGGTTATTACGCAGCATCCTGGGTTGAAGGGGAGGGAGGAGAAGGTGTTGAGTAAGTTGTAGAGGGGCAGATGGGGTATGGGATTGATGGGAGTGATCGTCTAGGATCGAGTATGGCGGCGGCGAATGATGACGATGAGGATGGCTTTGGCGGGCGCAATCTCGTGACATGTATCGCTGCTAGGAACTAAAGGAACGAGTTGTCGAGTTCGATGAAAATAAATGACGAATAATGGACCACATTACCCCAATGCTGAAGTACCGACGAAAACGCCTCAGTACTTCAGTATTGGGGTAATGGGGTCCCTCGTTTGTCATTTAATCTCATTAATGGAACTCATTCCTCGATGCCAAAGCCTCTATCGAATTCAAAGTCCAGCACTCGAAAATGCAGTGATACATTTCCTCATACTCTTGCGCCAATGTTTAGTTGTCAAACCTCGTGAATGGAGAGTGCACTCTAGAGGAAGGCATGCGCGTTCAGATGTTGGCCTGGACATAAAGCTGCGATATTCCCGAGATAGTTCCGAGATATTATCGTGCTCTGGCGGGGTCCAGACTGATATGCCGCTAACGTCATCTGGACCCTTCGATCGCGACAATCTTTCATGTGTACGCCATCATCTCGACTCATGCATCGTGTATTCTCAACACCACGAGGATGGCGCAGTCGCCTCTATCCGGCGTCATGATGCCGCCACGCTTCAATATCGAGTTGGACCGTACGGACCCCGACGTTCCCTTCCGCGCATCGCAGTCACACATCCATCACACATGGGCTCGGACGTTCCATTCGCGGCCGGAGCTCTACATCCGGCCGCAGAGTCTTCCGGAAGTGCAGAAGGTCGTTAACCTCGCGAGACGTATGCGAAGGCGCGTAGTTACTGTAGGATGCGGACATTCACCCTCAGATATAACATGCACCTCGGCATGGATGATCAACTTGGACGACTACAAGGAGGTGTTGAACGTTGACAAGGAGCGCAAGACTATGACTGTGCAGGCTGGAATACGCCTACATAACCTCAACCTCCAAGCGAAGAGCCACGGCTTGACGATGCCGAATCTCGGATCCATCGACGATCAATCGCTGGCGGGCGCGATTGCGACAGCGACGCACGGCAGTTCGTACAACCACGGCCTCCTCTCCGACCGCGTTCAGAGCCTTCGAATAGTACTCGCGAACGGCCAGGCTGTACGCTGCTCACCCCAGCAATCGCCAGATCTCTTCCGGGCCGCGCTCGTCTCGCTGGGCGCATTGGGCATTATCGTCGAAATCGAGTTCCAGATGATCGAAGCGAACAACGTCGAATGGATACAGACTATATTACCGATTGAAGACGTTTTGGCAGATTGGAACAACGGGCTCTGGACATCGAGCGAGTTCACGCGAGTATGGTGGCTACCGTACATGAAGCGTGCAGTCGTATGGCGGGCAGACAAGACGGACAAGGCACATCGGCAGCCGGAGTACAACTGGTATGGCGGTAGCGTCGGCTTCCACACATATCACATTCTCCTCTGGATATCGCAGTATGTCCCGCGCTTCCTGCCCTGGGTTGAGTGGTTCGTCTTCGGCATGCAATACGGTTTCAAAGACGGCGCTCTCATTTCTGCCGTTGGCGAGCAACGCACGGAGCTGTTGATGAACTGTCTCTACTCGCAGTTCGTCAACGAATGGAGCGTTCCACTCGACAAAGGTCCTGAGGTACTGTCGCGACTGACAGACTGGTTGCACGGTGACGAGCAATCCTCCGGCATTCCCTTCAGCACCAAAGGCCTCTACGTCCACTCGCCTATCGAAGTTCGCATCGCAAACACCGTCAACCGAGAACCGCGTCCATTCCTTGACACTTCATATCCCGATCAACCCGCTCTGTACCTTAATGCCACGCTCTACCGTCCCTACGGCCAGGACCCCCCTTGCCGTGAACGCTACTACCAAGCTTTTGAACACCTGATGAAAGAGTACAATGGCCGACCTCACTGGGCAAAGAACTTTCAATCCGTCGATAACGCCTACCTCTCCTCCGTATACGGCAACGACCTAGACGAATACAACCGCGTCCGCAACGAAGTCGACCCCGAAGGCATGTTCCTCGGTGCCTGGCACCGTCGCACCATCCTCCCTCCCAAGACCGACCTCCCTCTACTACCTCTCGAAGAAAAGGAAGTCGTACGCCGTGACCGACGCACTGGTGGAGTCGACTGGATAGGCGAGCAAGCCCGGTGGTTCGACGGCGGTGCTGATGTATTCGAGAAGGCGGGCAGTGAGTCTGGCGAGAGCTTCGATTACATGGCCGGCGCGGAAGCGGAGAGCAGTGTGTTGTTGGAGAGTTTGAGCGATGAGCTTATTGTTACGGAGGAGACTTATGAGAATGTCACCGAGAGTCGGAGGAGAGAGGGGACTGAGGAGTATGTTACGGGTACGAATGTGTTCAATAAGATGTAGATGTCATTGTACCTAGGTATATAAAAGGAGACGGGGATACATGTACATGGTGGGGAAATACACCACTCAATGAAGATATGATAACGATGTAGCAGTATTGCGATGCTTGCTTGTCTCCGTTGCCGTGATAAATAATGTTGCCCAGGTGTATCTCTGGGGTGGCTTGCGTACCAGTGCGCCCAAATGGGTAAGGCGCATCCGTGACTTCCCATCGTCATACTTCCAACATTGACGCGTCTGCCACCATCACCCACGTTCACTACAGTCAGTCGAAGACATGGTGACTATCAACGAACACATGTCGTCGACTGCATACCCCTCTCCTTGTGGCGATCATCGCGATCACCGCGATCGACGATAATATATCGAGCGGATGGACCCATCGGCAAGAAGCCGGCTGCAGATGTGAACATGGGCAACGGCGTCTCACTATTTGATAGGGGAAGTTGCTGCACTGCGTTCTTCTTCATAGACATCGTTGTGTCCCATCGTCACTCGACTAACAGCATCACAGTGTTGATACCATGCAGTTGTATGTCCGGTCGACCGTGTACTGGCGATAACATAGCGCGTCCTCGGGGATTGGGCGTTGCCATGGCATATGTCCAACTTTGCTCAGCACTCGATTTCCTCATGCCCGAAGATTAGCCCTACGAATTAAAGGCCTTACGGAAGAGGAGACCCGTAACGAGGACTTCTATCACAGTTCGACGCCACATGCAGCCACCCCTTACGACTTCTCGGTTGATGGGCGTTATTTCCGCTTGCGAGATCATGACCCACAAGTAATATATCTCCTACCTTGGCAGCCACGTTCTGAGCTTGGCATGCAGCCACAACACGAGGAAAGCTTGGCCGATTCTAGAAGGTGGCCGACATGATTGCTTGGAAGTCTGCTTGCAGGGATATAGGAGAAAAGGAAGTCAATGCAGGGAGTTCAAGGCGAACGATATTTGAACGAGCGATTAGATTGACATATTACGGACTAGTTCGAACGACCCGCATCGCCCGTATCTACAGTCTAATTCGGACAGCAACCGAAGCGCCGCTATTGTCTGTTCTTGCACACCGACTGCTCATCCGATTATCCGCGACCCATCCTGACTTAGGAAGTCTGCACATAGATGTCCGAGCTGCCAGAAGATTGGTAACCCTCAGTGGCAACGATCTGGTAGTAGTGCTGGCCCAAGTTCATGCCGTAACGAGCCCAGGCGTTGAAGTGGTTTTGCATGTTGACGCTGCCACCGACGCGCTTCTGCGTGCGGACAGACCTGGGAGGTTGTTAGTGCGCGTCCAACGCCCACATGTTGCTTGTCAACTTACCAGTACTGCTGAAAGGTCCTTGTTCCATCGATGGAGGGCTGGTTGGTACGGGTGGAGGTGGAAACGTCGTAGGTACCGCCGTCAGTCGTGAAGCTGCCCTTGCGCTGGGATCCGCTGCTGGGGTTGTAGGTGCCGTAGGACTCGATCACGTAGTACTCCACAAGCGGGTTGCGGGTCCAACCGTAGACGGCAAGGTAACCGTTACCCTGAGGCTGGAAAGATCCGCCGTAGTTGATCGTGCTAGGATGGAGATCAGCAAATGATGAAGCTTAGTTCTTCCAGATGACATACCGGCCGGTTCCAGGGTTCCATCCCTTGCCACCGACGAAGTTGCCGGTGTTCCTCCAGGTCACGGAGTACCTGCTGCCCTCTCCCATGGTGTACTGAGCGGAACCACCGCCATCAGTCCACCACGAGTAGAAGTACCCGTTGTTGTAGCCCTCAGCGCTGGGAGTGGACTGACGCTTCTCAAGAGCAGTTGCGTTGCCATCGTCACGCTCAGTGAGGAAGTCAAAGGGAGCGGCGAGCACGCTGGTGGTAGCCATAGCGGCGAGAAGGAGAGACTTGAAAGAGACCATGTTGAGCTGAGTTGGAGATCTGTGCTGGATGCGGTGATGATACTGAACTGCGAGAAGCAACGAGCTTATATGTCAACTTCGAGGTGGAGATGAGCCTGAATCGCTGGAAGAAGTCGCCTTTGGTGGTCATGAGGTATCATCTCGCCTCTGTCTACATCCGTCTTGGTGTCAACGACGATGGTGTGTTCCAGTCCTCTCATTTCGAAAAGCACGCCCAGCGCACTGACTAGAACGGCCTAGGAACCACGAACACGGCAAGCTGCACCGTTCAGTGGCCGGCCTCGGTAATCATGGAAAAGATAGAAGAGCACAAAGATCCATGCCCCTTGCACCCATCTGCACGACACCACAAAGATAATATCGCTGATCCGGGCTTTACGCGCTTTCTCAACCCGGTTCACAGGATGTTAATATAAAAGAACGCCACTAGGGTACAGGTGGTCGCCTTACCCCACACTCCTCGGAAGACAACGAAGCTTGGAAGGAACACCCGCCGCGCTAATGTCATGTAGGCGATGATATTGTTAGCGACAGTGGCGCACGTGATGAAACATTGGGCGCTCATGGCGGGAAGCCTCGGCAAACTCAGGATAGCCACCGGATGAAGAGGATCTGCCAAGATTTATAGTAGCCGGCTTTTCTACCGATCCTGGTAAGACATGCCAAGCGCGGTGGGTATCTTGAGCGGAGATGATGTGTGGAGTGCATGAGTGGATCTCGAGGTCGGTGAGCACATGAAAACAATGTTACTATGCACTACATGAACGCATAATGGTGGTGTTATTACTGACAGGTCAAGGCACCCCTGGAAGTGTAACGAAGTTCGCGAAATCTTCACAGTTCACACACTCAGCGTTCAGGAGATCATGACTTCGCGAACTCTCATTCTGCCTTGATCGCCTGTACTCAGTTAGGCGATCGACACGATAGTATCTGACTAACAACATGGACTACAGGATGAACTGCTGGTGCAACACCACTCGAAGCGACCACCAGTATATAGCACTAACGGCTTCGCGTACAGCATCGGGGCACTACGGCTGCGCTTGTAGGTCGCGCAACTTGCCCAGTTCTCTAGATCCAAGACCGCCGAATGCCTCATATTAGCTGGCAAGCCGGTGGCATCTGGACGTCGTACGAATTTACCCAGCCATGTCCTTGATGGCGCGTAGATCAGGGTCGGTCCATCCGATGGCTATCACGGCATCATCGCGGAAGAAGGAAACATGAAGGACGTGGGCAGGGATTGCATCCGGTTTACAGTAATACACCACAGTCACGGTGGAAAGGAGTATCTGCATCTTGGTGTGTGGCAACATCAACTTCAGCCGCTGCTGTATATCGGTGTAGAGTCTTGTCCTTGTGTGACTAGTCTGGCTACTATCATCTACGATATCGGACTTCCAAGATCTTGTGCTGTTTCATCTACGCGTTGTGGATATCAGATCTTGCCGAGTACGATTCCCGGAGTCATCTCATGGCCCACCAAAGCTCCTGCTTACCACCGACCCCTGACAAGCCTTGTCTTCGTTTGCCACACTGCGGCTGCGCAGGCTATACGACCTGGGAGATCAGCTATCCGGTTCGTGCGAATGATGCGTGCAAAATTTCTCAGTGCAAGATTAGCTGGCGTGAAGATCTAGCCAAAGAGTTTGAGTACGCTCATACGCAGCTGATTGCTTATCTCGCAGAGAGAGTGGAAGTAAAACTCTTTCGAACGGATTTGTGTTATACTACCAAGGTATTCTTTTCACGATACAAAGCCAGTATGAACTCTTAGATGACTCTGATCACGGCAAGAGACGATATGTAACGACGTTATATTTCTCTACATTCACGCAGACTCACTTTTTGAAGCATGGCTTATCCAAACTCGCAGTCTCATGTGAGCCTGCTAGAGCTCTTCGCAACACGCCCACGATGCCTCCTGAAGCGGTCTGTTGCTGTTGCACTTCCTCACGACCCAGTCGATCCCAGGCCGCATTCACGTCAACGATCTCAACCTCGTCCCTCTCATCGAAGCACAGCTGTGCAACGAACGATGCAACAGTCGTAGTACCAAGCCTGATTGTATGCGGAAGGATGCCACTGCTCAGCACACTATGTGCTGTGTATAGAGACGGTAGAGCATGAACCCCTCGCTTCTTTCGCTCGCTATTGACAAGCTTCAGGAATGCGGTGACCACGGCGTGTCGAGTAGCCTTTCCGCTTTCTTCGGCCTCCATGACTTCAAGGTAGGAGGAGAGGGGCTCCGTACCTAGACGCATGCGACTCAACTCGGAAGCACAATCGGAAGTATCAGGTACCTGAGAGCTAGTCAATACTGTCTCCGCAACATCTTCGTTGGAGACCTCGTTCAGTGGTGCGTCATGGATCTTTCCTTTGTTGTCTTGCGTCGCAACCACTTCGCACTTCTCAGTACTGACCGATATAGCATCGACCGAACCGTCCGGACAGCTCGACAGCTCTTCGCGATCGAAACCATACTTGTTTTCAGGGTCGGGCACCTCGAGGTTTCCCAGTTCCGCACTGCCCTCCATATCGTGAGGTCTGTCGCGGATGCCGAGGTCTAAATGGGCGTCCTCAATGCGACTGTCAATACTCCCGGAAGTCTCATTATGTGCGCCACTGAAGTGCTCGAGGTAACCCTTGCTTGGAGAAGCGATCGACTCAAAGTCTGACCCACCATCATCCTTGATGGTTTCCACGTCATGTAGAAGCTGTTCGTATGCGATGCATTGGACTACACCATCTGCGTTTGCTAAGAAGATCCGACCACGGAGTATGCTCTCGAGTGACAGGTCGGTGCCGTTCTCGTTAAGACTTTGGTCCATTCTGTAGCCCACAGTAAGGCTCAGTGGCCTAGGCCTGTAGTATGGTACAAGAGCCCATTCATGGTTCGCACAGGCTGACGATACTTCCGGCTTTCTCTCGATATCAGCAGCTGTGGAAGGAAACTTATGTCTGTACACAAGGGCTACACCGTTGTCAATTGTGGCATCCTCGAGCCGCGTGAAGATCGATGACTCTGTCGCTTCCGATTTTTGTGATAACGCTTCCTTGAAAGCTTTGCTTGATGCTGCGGCGGTCGTAAACGTAGGACTACCTAGCTCTTTCACGAAGGCTTCGCTGAAAGCCAATGAAGTTGGACCTTCATCCTCAATGTCCTCAACAATCTGGGGGAAAGACGATCCATACTCGTGGTTGGAAACTTCAGTGACATTTGAGCGTTCACCAAAGGTAGCAACGCCAGTGGGAGCTTTGAAGGTGAAGCTATCGTTGAAGCTGCCCAGGGATTCTAAAGGCAGTGCGGACAACGCAGGCGAAGGACCTGAAGACCGAGACCCAGTGACATCAGTGCTCAATGGTGGTAGCTGCTGTAAGGCAGTTGAGATAGATGGAGCAGCGTCGAAATTTCCAGGCGACATAAGGCTGGAGTGCTGAGAAGTGGGAACAATAACATCCCGTGTCGATGTTGCGCTATCCTGGGTAGGTAAGAATGAAATGGCGGGCGTGTCGAACCGCTCAGGCTCGATAGTACCGACTAGTGTATACTTTACGTTACTCGAAGGAGCCTCCTTAGTAGCTGATGCGCCTTGTTTCTTGGCAGCTCTCTTCGCTGCCTTCTTTTGTCCCTTGGTCAGAGGTGGGAGAGGCATGATGGCGGCGGCCGGGCGTGTGTTTGTGGAGGGCCCTCTTATTCCCTTGAAGTGTCCTGCAGTGGGAGCGGGACGGTCTGTTAGAGACAGACGAGTAGTATGTGATGGTTGGGTACCGCAGGTGTAGTTGAACTGAGAAGTCCATAATCACCGCGTCTGAAGTACCCAGGCTGTGGTTCCACCTTTTGCGGATGAGGCCGAGAGTGAATGTAAGCATAGCAGAGGTGGCCATATCCGCGATTACTTGGCAAAGGCGCGATCGTACGCACATGAGAGTGGTGAAAGATCCATACACTGATGTGAAACAAATCTTGGAATCCATCACTCGGGTGATGACACGCCATTGCAAACGATGTGGGCGACGTATATATGTGTGTATGGCTCTGTTCGTTTTTTATATAGCGTATGATTATAGTAGAGATCCTGTAGTGAACACAAAACAATAGATGCGTCGCATTTCTGTAGGCCAACGGGCGCCTTCTTTATCTGTCCGGTCTAGTGTAGCAAGTGTTTGGCTGATATGAAGTGATTGTGCTAACAATCTCGCAGTTGGACGTTGACAAACCTTGCGAATATCTATTCGTGGTCTCTATTATTCCGGAAGATTAGCATCGCTTCCGGACTAGATGTGAATATGCTAAAGACACTACCTAAGCACGAAGTATTGATTAGCATATCGAAAGGAAATCTGAAATTCTGCAAGACGTCATGCTTGGGGATGAAAGCTTCCAACAATAGTACATGCGCGAGATACGTTAACAAAACCTAGAGGTGGTGATTACTCCTCACCGTAACAGTCATATACCTAAGCAGGTAACGTTGGCACGAGACGAGCAAATTGCGGATAGACTAATGGCATACAACCTTGGAGTTTTCTCTCAACGATCATGCCCACAAAAGCTTTCGCGAACGCGTTCTTACGATGATAGTGGCGTGGCATTTGACCCTGAGAGCTCAAGACACTACGCGCTAACAGTAAGGCCGATGACAGGAAGCCACACTATACCATAACCTGATCCGGACCGAAACAATTTAATATCGAAAGAACGCGATGGAGTCTAAAAGACTGTCGGGATCTCAGCCATTGTGATCGATACGGTTTCAAAAATGAAGATGGCTGGGGAAGATTTACTTCTTCGGCGCGTTCTAGTGAGCACTAGTTGTCACTAGCGCGACGCGTCCGTATGAACGCCTGCAGGGATCCAAAAGTTCTGCATATAAAGACATGACGATACCTTTGTTATTTCTGCAATCTTCTAACTGATACAGAATGTCCAATCCAGTTGTTATCGAGGTGAAGAAAAAGGTGGAAGGGGACATCTACTCATATGACGGCACAGTGTACAAAATCAATGGAGAACGTCGTCTCGGCATTGATAACATTCTCGTCACGCTTTTCAACATGAACAAAGAAGAGATGCGCAGACACGCACTATTCTGGGATGTGATTTCCCCTGCGGACTTGGGCAAGGAACAACTTTGGGTCCAAATCAACATGCTGAAGAAAGGACTGGCAAAGCTGAAAGCCAGCGGCGTGGCAGAAAATCTGGCAAGTACCATACTCTCTTACTTCAGTTCAGATCTAGTTTCTTTAGTCGATTCGTTTTACTGACAATCATCGCAGCTGCCAGTATATCCGAGACAGATATTCGAGGACCTTGCGACAGAGTGGCACACCACGCATGGTTGGCACATTACTCCTCCATCTACGATTACTCCTCCATCTACATTCAATCCTCCATCTACAATCACTCCTCCATCTACAATCACTCCTCCATCTACAATCACTCCTCCATCTACAATCACTCCTCCATCTACAATCACTCCTCCATCTACACCACCCGCAGCAAACGACCTCAAAAGGGAGCTCGATGAACCCATCCCAGACGACCATGAGATTCTGTCCACTAAGAAGATCAAATCGGAAGAGTTCACAAACGACGGTGTCGACGCTGCCATACCCTCACATGCAGGGGAGTATGTGAACAGTTATTGGGGGAAGCAACCCGAAAACCCATGGACTCCAGAACGCAGCGAGGATGAGAAAAGCCTCATGAGCCAGCACGAGGCGTGCCGTGCCAAGCAGACTTTCGTTGCGGCTATGGGTACTTACTGGATTCAGTGCCCACTCATTGAGCATAAACACCCAGAACTAAAAAGTAGTCTGCGCATGGTTGTTCAAGGCCTTGATGACCATACACAGGAACGTGGCTTGCTCGAGGCCCACCTCAACCTTGGGCTATTGAAAGGCACCATGGTTGTGGGGCCTGGCCTTGACATAGTCCAAGATTGGTGTTACAGACACCAAAGCCAGCGTTCAAGAGATGGTGGCAATGGGAAATGCAGGATTGACAAGGACACAGAAAGACTTCGAGACGTTCTAGAAGAGCTCAAAAGAGTAAATAGATTACCTATGGACGCGATCATTAAATCACCGCCTCTCGACTTACGAAAGCCACTCGACCTCGACTGCGAAGCTCGACTATACGAGAACAGACCATCCATTGGTGGACCCATTCGGATCTCTGGCGATACCGCGCATCTCGAATTCCGAGGAGATAGTTTGTATTTCGAAGGCAAGATCAACCTTCCTATGATCAGCGACACGCCTGTAAAGATTTGTGGTTACAGAATCAAAAGCGATGATTCTTGCACCGTTGAGAAGTGGTTGGATTACGATACGTCGAAGGTCGAATATGGGGCGGTGTGGAACGAGTGTTGACCGACAGAAGATTTCGTTTGTTGACCGATGTTAATGGGGTAGATTTTGTCGCTAGTTATCAGAGTAGGCGTAAGAGCAGCAGTGCGCTGGGCGTGCCGCGCGATCTTTAGCCATGTAAATATTCTTTTCCAGCCCTACTGTTGACCGCTTTCGACTGTTGCTTTGTCAGGTATCAATGTACACCGCAACGCGTGTCATCGTGATCTGTGGCTGTGGTGTGAAAGACCCTGCAAACCTTACAGACAGCGCACTGTTAGCGTATTAATGCGCGGATGCATCCTTCTCTATGCCTGGGTCAGCCCGCCGGGTCCGCACTGAATGCTGACACTTTGCATGTAACAGTGCCGTCGCTGCTAGTGTGCCCAGGTGTTGAGAAGAAGAAGCTGCATGCATGACGCGAGTCGGAACTTCAAGCTGCTCACTCGTATCTTCGACGCCCACTTCAAATGCGCGCGGCAATACTGAGAGCATCGTGATGCACTGTGCCACCTAGTTGGACCTGGACATGGAGTTGACAGTTTGCTGAACCTTCGCGCTAGGCTCGGGACAACTCGTGGACATTCTGTGGAAAGGTGCCTGACTGCTGAGAGCGACTTGTCGCTTTCAGATGGCCGGCGCTTGTCATTGGTCGGCGAGCGGCGGGTCCCAGATGCCGCAGTGTCAGCTAAGGCCAACACGCGTCTCGGCAAGCATCCTGACCTGCATCCGCCCGCAGGGATGTCGCCATGCACCCATATACATAGATATGCCACCATGGACAGCATCGACACTCAAGCGTTACTCCCATCTTGCCATCACTTACTACAAGCCTAAATTCACAAACTCGAACCCCATCACGAACTCCTTACGACAATGGCCAAACCATCGTCTGCCATCAAGATCTGCGCCGGGATGACCTATGCATACAATGGGTCGCTTCACCCGCGCAAACGAATGCAGATAAACAACTGCTACCTTGAGCTTAAGGAGGATGTCGTGCAGAAGCTCATTAACGCGCGACTCGAAGTGGAGGACGTTTCGGAGGAATGGCTTCAGGCGCAGTTGTTGCTCCGCGGTTTCGGTCGTCCTGGTGAAGAACTTCGTTGGACGAAGCGCGACATGATCTCGCGTCTAGTGCAGCTCATCCCAATACTAGAGGACAAGTACTACATTGTTAGTATCCAAATATACATATCTATTTCCCATCATCCTAACCCATCCCCAGAGCGCCTTGGAGCATTCCATCAAAGTCTTCCACAATTTAGAAGAGATTTGGGCCAAAGCATATCCTAAACACCCAGCTTCGAAAGAGTATCTAAAGAACAAAACACCACATAACGCCTCCCGGTGCTGGTGCTTTGCTACGCAGCGAAAGAACCTACTCACTAAAAAAACATTGCCTGCCACAGTGACAAAACGGCCACGACCGAACGCTACAGAGTTTGGCGAAGCCTCTGACCATCCTCACAAGAGACAAAGGCTCCCGTCGCCTACTCCTGAGCCGGACATCGATAACAAGGAAAGCATACTATCCTGGATCGCGCAAACTTCGGGCGCGCCCCCAACTCCGCCGGAGCACGTGGACCATCTACCCCGTGAAGTTGCAGGCCCCTTACCTCAACTCTATATGAGTCCCCTCTTGGCAATCAATGAAGAGCACCGGAGATTTAAGCTACATAACTACATGAGTTATGTAGCAGGAACCTACATGATTTTATGTCCGTTGCTTCAACTGAGGCATCCAGATCTCATTGGGCAGCTCAGCATTACAATCAAATATCTGGGTGCTTCTTCGCTTACATCTGGCATACTCGAAGCCTACTTCAACTTTGGCAAGTTTACTGGCCCGGCAATCCTTGGGCTCGACGATGATCGCATCGCTGAGTGGCTTTGGGCTACGGCGACAGAAAGACGGGGCAGACGCGCTCCACCTTCTTATGAGAACGATGAAGTCGAAAGACTATGCGAGGAAGCACTGAACTTGGCTATGGAGAGAACACCAGAACGCAAACGGGCTAACGTGGAGACTCGACATCTTAGAGACCTTCCTGCTCTTGATATCGATACTGGCGCGTTACCTCAGCTTCACTTCGACGCTCGGCTTGATAATCCGACTGGCGAATTCTATGACCCAGGGACGTATCGCATTGCTCAAGGAGATATCAGATTTGAAGAGCGTGGCTTGCGTTTCAGCGGAATGATCAGGATACCGGAGATCACTGAAGGTGACCTAAAGTTCGAAGGCTTGAGGGTCTTCCGCAGAAATGAAGGTGACCTCCCGCAGAAGTGGAAAGATGTTCCTACAAGTAAGGTACATCACTGATGGAGGACGCTCACCCACAGATCCTCGGCGATTACACGCTGGGGTTAATTTACTCGAATGAATATGGTGTTTGGCTTTTGCTTCAAGTAGCTAAAGTTCTCTGACCCCGATAAACCACGAACCAGGGTTGCGCATGACCTGGCTCGAAAGTCTGTATTACACCCTGTATCTGCCGTTTTGTCCTGTTCATTGGGCGCTCGTCGCCGAACTTTAGGGTGAGCTTGCTTTCGGCCCGCTGCACTGACCCCGCTTTCCCGCGCGTGGCCCGAGTTGATACCTTGACACCGATCGTCCACACATAACGCCTATAGAAGCAAAGTTCCGGATCTCACCGCATGCTTACATCTTTACCTGTTCCCTTTCCCATAACCTAGTTTGTTGAGTAAGTTTTCGAAGTCGGAACAGCAACGTCAGCACTTTATTGTGTTCAACGAGCAGGTAACATTCCCGAGGTCGTCAAGCGCAGAATGTCAACATCTGCCGCATTCACGCCGGACTTGAGATCTGCATACAAATTTGACAGGCACCAAGGCGTGCACGGCTATTCAGAGTTCGGGAAACTCCCGACGATGGCTCTCGATCCATACTCGGTGACTTGAGCACCGGCAGGCCGCTGCGCACGTCTGCCGTTATACCTGTCACGGAGATCTGATGGAGAGCCGGAAAAAGATAACACCAAGACATGTAAGCCCACGACCATTTTGCCTCATCAAGTCTTCCCATCTTCATACACTCACTTGCTCCACTTTTGTTCTTCGCTTCCGCAAATCGATCTGAGACTACTGTCATCACGTGACGGCGATTTTCACTGCGGATCCGCTTGCAGTAATACTACTCCGAGTTCGCTCTCAGAACTGATCTACCCTGCGTCGTATTGCACATTCAGTCATCGCTTCACCGATCTTGTTCTCTCACCGTCGCGCCATCATTATGCCTGCTGCAACTCAATCTCTCGAGACCATGGTTCTCCAAGCCCATCGCGCCAAAGGCGTACGCTATCCGACAGCCTCTCAGAAAGAATGCTTCAAGACCTGGTACTCTTACGCGCTTCGTCAGGGTGAAGTCACGAAGACTTCCCCGAAAGTTATTGAGGAGCACGGAAAACATCTCAAAGAGATCAAGGAAGCGGCGCCAGGTGGGCGAACGTATCTTTGAGCTGGTATGTTTCTTAGCCTGCACAAAAGCTTGCAACTGGCTTACTGACACGCTTAGACAGGATTTCGAAAAGTGTTTCAGATTTGCCTTCGCACGAACTGGCGTCATCAGTCACCTTGAGAGTGTTTGGTTTTGTTATAATAGCAGTGTGCTGATAATAGTTCGATCTTAATCCTTTCTTTCTGCGTTACACCGACTCCTTTCGAGACAACTATGTCTCCCCTAGCGATTCGCGACTGGTTTGACGCTTTAATCCACAATCTGTCTCTATAACTTCGTCGTGTGGGCCTGTATCTCATTTATCACCGTAGTTTGCGAAGTCGCCGATCGTTACTAAATCTAGGCCCACTGTGGATACTAGCGCGCGACTGCGTCTTTTGACGCCGTACGCGATCTCATACACGCTTTCACCCTCATGCTACCATCTCTTTGTCTTCCTGCGCTGCACATGAATTGTTGACTTTTTCCGATAACCAAACCAAACAGCGAATCTCTGCATCAAGGTCAGGCGTCTAGCAAGTTGCGCACTTCCCTTCACTCGCCTTGTCCTAGCCGCTGCTTGCAGCTTGCCCAGGTGGCACGCTCATAGCAATCACCAAGCTGCGCTACAAACGGCATCCCATAACACGACTTCAGTGGCATATCCAGGCGCTGTAGTCATTGTGAACACTGGATCATATATATGCGCTTGCCGCATACCTACCGTTTCACTGCTCTGACAATCGATTTTATGCTCCAACGGCGAGGCATGCATTCCAAACACGCCTCTATCTCCAACTTAATCTCTGGACATGATGGCTGCCATGATACCATCCCTTCCTAACCTTGGAAGACTGCAACCCCACTACGAAGGTTGAAAGCAGTACTCCCATGCGCATCGGCGCTCCTAGAAGATCTATCAAGATGTCACGACGCTTACACCTCGGTTGCATGGCCGGCTCACCTTCACCTTCACTATATCTCATCTGAACGATGAAATGGCGCGCTATTGTGCCATCACAAGGTGCGAAATCTCTGACCGGCGACCGCAACTACCAATAAGAGCTTCAGGATAACGCATGTGAAACGTGTGTGTGTACTGCGAGAGAGAGGCGCGCGACCTTTCAACCATGAGGGTGAAATCTCGTCCCAGCCACTTTCAAAAACCTCCGTTACTCACTTCTACAAATTCAAACCCACCGGGAGCCGCAGCTCTCTTCTTCTCAACTGCAACTCCCACATCCGCTGCCTGATCAGGACCAGTCTCAACTACAGCGCATATACACCGGCGCCAGCGATACAGTTTCCAAACCCGGAGGAAAAACCAACGTCTACGTAAAGATGAGCGCTACTCACCTTGCCTCCGTATATATCCCAGGACAGCTTCGACGCCTCGACGACCTGCCGCCCGAGCTGATTGTTATGATCGCGAGGAATACGAATGACGCCTCCGACATCTCATCGCTACGTCGCGTGAACAGGTTCCTGAGCGCGGCCATCCCCGCATGGGTTATCTCCGAGACGACTTTCTACATAATGCCTATGTTTAGTAGCATCTCGAGGATGGCACAAGCAGTGCAGATCCAGAGCACCAACCCTAGCTGCAACCTAGGACGTGTCCCGGCGGTAATCTTCGAGAACGTATGGCCGACACCGCCTGATGAGTTTGGGCTCCATGGAGAACTCACCCAGCACGATGACTGGGAGGCCGACAGTGACGATGAGCTGCCGCCAAACTCGAACACCTATCTCCACTTCATAGATGGGTGCCATGAAGAGCGCAACTCTGCCCAGCTACGCGACTCCCTGACGCACTCACTAGGAAGCTTTCATGGCGTCAAAGAATTGATCCACGTTCAAGGTTTCCACAATTCTCGACCAGCACAGGAGCGACCCTCCCGTGAGGAGCTCCTTCAGACAGTGCTGCTCTATAAGGACCACGATCCGGAAGATTTTGAAGACGAGATGTGGACTCGCCGCCGCTTGATGTTCGAGCCATATCATGCATACCTCGGTCAAGAATGCGCTAGTACGTTTGATCACGCCGTTGATGCCGTACTCCGCAACCCCATGCGGAAACAGAAACTGAAAGTCTATATCGAAACGCGTTCAATCTGCGCATTGAGTGATGTCGATCTAAGCGCGTCACCGATACCCGCTACTCAGCTCGGAGATGGACTTGCGATAAAGTACGTTGGTCATTACATGTCAATTCTGGATGCCATAGACCACGACTTGGGTGTTCTGCACGATCAGAACATAAACACAGCATCGCACTACGCGGGTATAACGCATCTTTCCATTAGCGGAGATGGACTGGGCAACGAGGGTTCGGTACACATGGGGCTCTTGGGCGGCTCGTCACACTCTCCCGACTGGTCACGCTTGGAGACACTACACCTCGACGATACTCAGCAGAACGACCAGTCCGCTGATTTTCTTCGCCAGCAGAAATGTAATCTCGAACTCCACAACGTCTACTGGCTCGGAGATTCGATCCAACGTTTTTCCAAAGGCTCTTCACTTCGAGATGTGAAGGCTTCCGGTATTTTCGCCATCGAGGAGACCAAAGAGCATGCCAGGGGCGTCTGGATTGTGGCAAACGATCACAGGGAAGCCTACGAGATTGCGGTAAAGAATGCTGTGTGTTGCAAGCCAATGGCATTAGGCCCTGCCGTCCCCTTCGTCCCACCAAGCGATGTTCAGCGGTACATGGTGAAGGGAGGTGTCTTGCCGTTCAGCAAGGCGAATGTATGGGCAGAAGACTGGAAGTTGTAGAGTTTCATACATCTGTTGCAACTTCATCGTTCTTGTCGCATCGCCGACTACGGCCACACAAGCGCTGGGTGTCGCAATCATTTATCGCCGTTTGAGAAGATTGTTCTCATTCGACAATGGGTATCCAGGCACTCGCGAGTAAAGTTGGGTTGCTAAAGTTCGCTTTTTCCATGTCTGATGGCTCGGTGCGTCGCATGAGGTGTGAGCGGAGGATCGACTTGGGTTAGATTGCAATCAAAGCCAGTGAAAATGTAATCGTGAGCACATTTTGAGGTGAAGCGTTACGGGCCAAAAAGCCCGGATATGTCGAGAAAACAACGCGTGAAGCACCAGACTTTGAAGATGCCCAGGTATGGCGCCCACGGGCGGCTGGACGTCATTGGGCCGAGGTCCTGGCAGCGCGTCATGCAGGTACCCACAGAGGCGGGGTACGCCTACTCACCCCAAAAGGGTGTCGTAACCCGAAATCCCGAATAGCATACACATCTTCTGGAACCAAGTAGATCATTAATCATTGCTTACCATATAGACTACGACCTTACAACGTAGGATCTGCTTTGCTCGTTGTTACTTAAACCTCCTTTTTTTTCCCACACCGAATTTGCCATCACAGCAATACTTCCATAACGAACTTCATCTACACCACACGGAACAACAACATACTACTATCCTACGCAAAAAATGGCGCCTCCATCTTTCCGTGATCTTCTCGGCATGCCCGCCTCTACGGCTTCTACGAGCGACTCTGCCCTTCTCATCATCGACGCTCAAAACGAATATGTAAGGAACAACCCATGGCTATCTAGCGGTCTGCATGCTTTCCCCCTGAATCTCGAAAGGCCACTGCTGTCAGTTCATCGGCAAGGATGGTTTCGTTTTGAATGCAGCGATATATTGCTGAACGTCCAATATCCTTCTTGCCCACACTCGCTCTCTCCCCCCCCGCCGCATCGCTAACTCTACCCTACCGACTAGTCATCCGGTGCTTTAACCGTCACAAACGCCGCAGCAAGCGGAAAGGTCATTGCCGACCTTCTTGACAAGTACCGCAAAGCAAACGGCAAGATCATCCACATCCTGCACCAGACACCCGAAGGCGCACCCGTCTTCACGCCTGGCACTGACCTGGCGGAAGAGTTCAAGGAGGTCAAGGCACAGGTACGCTGGCCACTAGGACGTCCTAGGAGAATGTGTCGCTAATTGCTGATCAGGACGGAGAAGAGAAGATCTGGAAGAACTACCCTGGATCCTTTGAACAGACGTCTCTGCATGAGACATTAGAGAAGATGGGTGTTAAGAAGCTTGTCCTGACTGGTTACATGGCACACGTCTGCGTGTCTACAACTGCACGTGAGGCTTTCCAGAAGGGATACGAAGTCGTTCTTGTAGAGGATGCCATCGGCGACCGTGATATACCTGGTGTTAAGGGTGACGAGGTCACCAGGGTGGCGCTGGCGGAGCTGGCAGATGTGTTTGGCACAGTTGTCAAGAGCGCTGATATTAAGTAGACGAGCAAGAGCCATGAACTGAGACGATTTATTCCATGCAATGGCTGTACTAAGAATGTAATAGCTCATCTCAAGCGCCGACACCCCGCAGTACAGTGACGGTATGCACGTATCTCACCTTCCCACCCTCAACCCTTATCTCGTGACTGTCCGGCCAAGCTCCCAAGCTATCGAACTGGCAACTGACCTGCACACTACCGACACTCTCATCGATAACGTATCGCCTCATGCCATTCGCCTTCTGACTCCCTCCGTGCGGAAGACTCGCTCCACAAGGGTTGGTATACATGCTTCCCTCCACCCTCTCACATTGAGTGCCCCAGGGTATAGTGTCGGCAGCAGTGGCATTCGTCCACATGTCGAGGTAGGCGTCACCGACAGACTTCAGGAGAGCACGTGATGGTCGCGAGGCGGTGGGAAGGGTAGACCACGATTCGGCGCGGATGTAGGAGAGGGTCTTCTTCGCGTCGAAGAACAGGTCGCCGGTTGTAGCCGCTACGGTATCGATGGAGCTGATGGACGACGTGTCGTTGTTCAGATGGCGGATCTGGGTGCTAACTACGTAGGGTTTGTTCCCAGAAGCGCTGATCCACATTGTGTAGCTGGCGCATGCTTCGATGTCGGTGGATGAGCGGTTGAGGTCGATGACGAAAGGCGTTGAGAGGAGACTGGTCGCGATGTTGGAAGCTTTGTTGTTTTGCAGATATGTGAAGTTCGTGGGCGCGAGGCTGAGAC